TCTGATTACCGGGTGATGGTGTGAGCCAATTCACGTACGGGCTCCTACTCAAAACTCCATAAGTTTGTTGCACCGAGACAAAAATAAAAATTTGAAGAAAAAAAGTGCCGACTTCTTTTTTTTTTTTTTTTTTTTTTTTTTTGGTTTAGTAACAGTTGGAAGTTTGATATTTAAATTATTATTTTCTGATTTTTTCTTATTTCCTTTTGTGTGTTTCTGCCGTAGGCAGCTATTTCTTTTACTGTTGGAGTGAACCGGGAAGTTACGATGGCCATTACGCATTCTGCGAACCACAGGTGGCATTGCAAACGCCTCTTTTTCTTATGCCGGTTGTATGTCACTACCTTAATTGCACTCTGTGCAATCATGATTTTGGGCACGCTGCTGGTTATCAGTCCCGGTTTAAAAGAATTGAAGGAAGATGTTTGGCCGGAGGTCTCTGATGGTGTCTTTCCAGACAATCTAATACAACGGGGCCCGGGTGGTGGGTATTTGCTGCAAAGCCGCCGTGGGAGAGAGGGACCACCGCTGCAACTTGAACACCTTCGTAGCTTTTGTTCCAAGTACGCCCCCGGACTGGAGAACGCCTGGTGGAAGCGTGAGAATATCGTAAATTTTCCTATTAGGAGCAACAAGAGCAAAGACATTCGCCTGCCACCGTATCCGATTTTTCCAGGGCCGGTGTGTTTTTTGGGTGGATCGTCGTACTTTGATGGGGATGACTTGGATCGGCGTCGCAACCTTGGCGGGGCAAGGGTTAAAATTTTCCCCTCATGGAGGAGGCTGACCGACAATGTGTTGATGGATATGCAGAACAATAGTTACATCCGTAGTTTGACGTTTGTGCCCGCGATTGCAATTGTTTTTCTTAACTTTTTTTCCCTTGGTCAGATGTATCATGTCCTCAATGATATGGTGAAAGAAGTGATGGTTATCATGACGGAGGTGGGGAATGAAACAACCCCGTGGAAGTACAGTGAATTGGGGAAATCACCTACACAATTCTTCGCCCTCCCACGTGCGGAACTATTATGGACGCGAGAAAACCTGGCAACTGCGTTGCCGCAGACAACACATTTTTTAGGTGCCTTCTCCCATCCAACGGCACCCACACGTTACTTCTTTAACGACATACCCGTTCTTAGTAGAGATGCTGTATACTGCACCTGTCAAGCCATGTTTACCTGCGAGGTGCCGCCGGATGAAACATTTGAGCAAAAAACTGTTGCATTTCGCCTTATCGGTGATCTTATGGTGCGATACATGAACGAGACACCGCACGAGTCCGCACAAGAAGTGTCTGATGATCTGAAAAAAAAACAAGTTGTACCCCTCTCCATCCTGCGTCGATTCAGTCATGTTCCACAAATCGCAAAGCGTTTTTGGGAAACGGAGTTAAAAGTAATGGCAAAGTACAAGAATAGGGAACCAGGGGACAAAACGCAGGAACCTTTTGTCTACCGACCGAGACTGCTCCTAATTAACCGAAACTTTCGCGAGATTCACGATTACCAAGCCGTGGCCGCATTAGCAGAAAGAGTTGGCTTTAACGTGCAGGTGGTATATTTTGAGAAGATGCCACTGGAGGATCAGGTCCATGTTAGCCGCCACGCCGACGTCATGATGGGTATGCACGGTATGGGACTGACACACGTCCTTTGGATGGACGGGCGCCGTCGGCCACGCTGCCGGGCGCTTTTGGAGTTGATGCCTTTTGGTTGCCCAAGAACTCTGATCCATTTTTACAAGCTTTTTGCCGACACCGTTGGTATTCACTACGAATATATTGAAGCTGCTGATATGTATCTTAAGCACATGGGTGGCCTTCATACATCGAAGGCACAACAAAGAGACCTTGAAGCAGTTAAGGCTGTTATGCGTGCCTGCAAGTTCGACTATATGTATCGAGGATTTACCAATCAAGTTGCCATGTATAACATGTCTGTTTTGGAACAAAGACTGGTGGCAGCGTTGCAGCGACTAAAACAGTGTGGTGTGGCCTAATAAATGGGTTTGTTTGTTTTTTGGCTACTTTTTTTTTTTCTTTCTGTCGAACTGGATCCGAGAAGACTCACACACCGCCATGCGTGGCGGACATCATACATGTCTGGTGAATAATGTCTTTTACCGTTCGGACACAATTTCGCCGTTTTTGTTGTTGTTGTTGTTTTTGGTTATATATAAATAAATATTTATATTTATATTTGTATATTTGGCCCTAACTGTTGGCTGTGCTATCGAAAATCATTGAGATGTTTTTTGTATTTCTCCTTTTTTTTTTTCCTTTTGTTTTTGTTTTTGTTTTTCTCCCCCTCTCATCCTCATCCTATGCGCTGTTTTTTTATTTATTTACTGTCACTAAGATTTGTGGAGGTGTTGTGCGAATTGACGTCTCCAGTCGTACTGTGTTGTTCCTTGTTGTTGTTGTAAGAGAAAAGGCAGCGAGAACGGCTTTCTTTAATTCCTTCATTCCACCTCCAGCTGCTGCTGCCTCTGCTACTAATAATAATATGACGAATAGTACTGCCCTCAACGAGGGGATTTTTTTTTTTAATTTTCGGTTAGGAAACATTTTAATGACTGCCAGTTTGTGACTTTAAGGCGAGCCTGTTTGTTGTTGTGTGCGTCTTGCGAGCACATTTGTTTGGTGTTGGTGTGCGAGCGTTAGGGGAAAAGAAAACTTCTCTGAAGTGTGGAGGGTGTTGGGTAAGTTGAACCCAAACAGTCACCGCACATTGGTGGGCTCCTCCTCTTTTTTGTGTAGGCGGGAGGGGAGAAAAAAAAAGGTGCCATCCAGCCGCGTAAGCTGCCACTGTACGACTTGCCGTGAGGGGTACGTTGTGAGGGACGCTCTCAGAAACTCCGGCATTTCTTCCCGACAAGTCATGTGTAGTGCGGAACCGCCTTGGGCCCTCTATTGGCTGCTGAACGCACATATGCACGTATATATCTGCATGTGTGTGTGTGTGCAGGCATAGGGGCAACCCGGCAAAAAATGCGCGTTTCTTTTTTGATTTTTTTTTTTGTTTTTGTTTTTTTGGATTAGACGGCAAAATGAGTCACTAAATATTTTTTATTGGCCCGCAACTTTTCTCGTGACTGTGACTGGGCACGCCTGATGGAAATCCATGCACACATGGAAGACCGCTAAAAGTAAATGCAAGGTTCAGTCCGTTTTTGCCACCCTCTTATCATTCGGTGAGATACCCCTTTTTTTTTTTTTCTCGCCATGCGATAGATAATGTGTTTGTGTATGTTTGGTTCCGCAGTGTGTGTACGCAGTAGACTGAGCGGTCGTCTTTCATCTTTGTTTTTTTGTTTTTTGTCTTTTGCGTGTGCCCTCTCCCTCTTTATCGATCGACTGTCGTGATTTCTGTGCTGTTTCCCTTACTGGCTTTTCTTTTATTGCCACTTTACGCAGTTACACGGAGCAGGCCATCTCAGGGCACACTCTCAACCGGAGAGGTGGAACGCTATAAAATAAGACGAGAATTTCAAAAAAAAAAAAAAAAGTGAGAGAAGGGAGAAGAAAAAGGGGGGAACCGAAGCAAAAGGAGAAAATGTTGGAGACGCAACATCTCCACACACACTCTGGCCGCCTGATACCGCCTCCCCCACGGAGGACTCCGCGGAGGAAATCCAGCGTCTGCAGAACGCCTACACGACGGCACAATCCTGCCGAAAGTGGGTTATCGGCATCTTCCAAAACGACACGAAGCGACGTCTATGAATGTCGGATGGCTCCCGTGCGTGGCAGACGGGAGAGTCATGATAGCACCCCTGGTCGTCCACGAGCCCCGGAGGATGTCAATTATGCTCGGGGCCGGAGCATGAATGAAAGGCCAGCCCCATCGAAACCACAATGTGCAATTCCCAGCAAAAATGGTCGACTGGAAGAGTCGCGTGCATCGACCCTAGCTGTGGATCGTGAACGTTTCAGTCAGACACGGTGGGGTCGCAGCGATGAGATCATTTCCCAAAGCCCTTTGGCCGGCAGATCCCATTCCCTGCGGGAAGGTGAATTTTGTGATCCACAGGCCCTCACGATGCGCCTGCGGCATTCGTTGTCGCGTGGCTACAGCCCCCAGTGTGGGCATCCAACTCAGGCGGTGGTGGGTACAGAACTTGCGCCACCGATGCCACGCCTTCAGGGTGCATACGGCACCTCCAAGAATCGTTACCGGAAAACAATCGAGCGCTTCATTGAGTGTCAACCGACAAACACCCAGAAGGAGATGCAGTCAATGTTAGAAGAGTACAGAGGGCGTGAAAATGAGCTCTGCGAGGCGCTATCTGTGGCCTACAGTGATTCCTGGGAGGCTTCTGTGAGGGGAAATGACACTATCATCCAGTCACACAAAAATGACAATTGTAGCAAGTTTGCACTGAACGAGTCACCGGGTATGCCGGAAATGAAAGACTTTCCGCGTGTTGGGAACGGGAAAGGGCATTTTGACTCCATGAACAATGGCGAGTGCAACCATAATGCAACGGCTGAAAATCACCGGCAACGCATGACCAAACCCACTTCCAGTTCTCATTCTACCCCATCGCGATTTCAGGACAGCCATCAAAATGTCGATTGTCTCCGGTCATTCTCTGACGTTGCCACACCCCGTCGCAACGAGGGTATAAATCTTTCAAAGAGTGCTGAAAAGGAACGGTACGACGAAGATACAAGCCCTCATCTTCGCAACGGATCCAGTGGAGGCGTAAATGTACCTTTGTCCCTTGGTATTATTCTTGAGCAAGGGGAAACGTCGCCGCGCTCTGGTGGCATGTTGACACCGCCTATTCCCGCAGACCTTCTCGCACGTTGAGGTTAAAGGTGCGAACGATGTGCACAAGAAGAACCGGGGGGAATGTTAGGGTAAGCCGTTAATAAACAAAAGAATTGTGTCTCCTTTGTGTGTTTGTGTTGGCTTTGTACCTTCGTCGGATCCATTTACACTCATGCATGAATTATTATTATTATTATTATTATTATTTGTTGTTGTTGTTGTTGTTTTTTAGATATGCCCGGCAGGGATCCCACTCTCTCCACTCTTTTCCTATAACTCTCGTATGCACTCACATTCTCCATCCTCCATTGTGTTTGTTTTCACGTTTCATGCGATTTCGCCGCCACCGTGTGGGGGTGTATGAGGGCGGTGAAGAAGATGAGGTGGAGGATGGGACGAGAGGAAAGAATGGAGGAAAACGACACAAATAGAATCCAAATTCCGGCGGACGCACACCCACACACGTCTGTACGAGGCGGAACGCACTGGAGATCACTGTTGAGTATTTTTGGGGTGTATGAAGGACTTGTCTTGTTTAGAAAAAGAAAAGGAAAAAAAAAAAAAGAGAGAAAGAGGAAAGTAAGAGTAGCTTTATGCTTTTATTTTTGGGATTTCTTCCCTTTTTTTTTTTTTTTTTTATTGTTAGCTATACGTATTTACGTGTACGTATGTGTATGCATGCCCTCATCCGTGGAGGAAAAAAATGACAGGGGGGATACGAGGAAGTGCCTGTCTCATTGTTTTGTGCATTTCTTGAATTTATATGTGTGCGTGTATTGTTTTTCGTTTTCTTTTGTTTGTTTTTCTCTTTGTTTCTGTGTGTGTGTCTGTATATGTGTGTGTGTGCGTGTGTGTTTAGACGATTGTTTGCCAGGGGGACAGAGCTGCCGGAGAAGAGTGAAGTTTATTTGAATGGAGTCGGGGATAAAGAGAACAGGATCGCTTTTCAGGTGGATTTAATTGTTTTTTCTTTTATTTTGTCTCCCATCACTCATTCTTACGTTGCCCCGTTCTTTCCTTTACTCCAAACACCCTTCTGCGTGCGCATGTATATATATACACACACACGCACATAGAAGGCGGGGCGTGGGGGGAGAGAACACAATGTTTTGTTTTTCTTCTCTTTTTTCCTCTTTTTTCCCCTTTTTTTTTTGTATTTGTGGAGACGGTCACTCCCGCATACACACGTGAGTACCTTGTAATTCGAGGTGTAGTGCGCATGATAAAAGAAAAAGCAAAAAGGGGATGGCAGAAATGAGGTGTGGAGGAGGAGGGGTGTAATAAATATGAGTGGCAAGAAGAAAGAGACGCGCGACATTGGGCTGCCATCGCTGTTTTTTGCGGCCGCCCATAAACACTGCAATTTGGGGGAGGGGTGGACCGTCTTTGTTTTGTTGTTGTTGTTGTTTTTGTTTTGGATGAGGAGGCATTTCCGTCTGTATTTGTTATCATTGATGTTGTTTCGTGCTTATTTGCTGCCTGTCTGGAGTGGCGTGAGGGGTTTCATAATAGTAGCGACAGGAAAAAATAAAAGGAAAAAGAAAAGAGAGAGAGAGAAAGCGAGGAGTCCGCCTTTCAGCAGCACGCATAGGGGCAGTACCTCCGCTCAAATATCGAGGGAAAATGTTGACAAATCTGCTGCTTTTTGTTGCACTTTTCTCATTGAACGCGTGTTGTGCAGAGGAGGCTGCGGATGCGATGTTATTAACGAGGATGAAGGGCCCTGTGGAGCTGCTGAGGCGAGAGAAAATGCGGTGGCGTGCCGCATGGAATGCACGAAACGTTGGGGATGTCGTTAGCGTTGATGAACATCTCGCGGAGTGGGAGGACCTCGGTGAGGTGCACATCAACGCCCCTTTAGGGGAACGCGTGGTGAGCGTTTCCATGTCACGACATTTTGCTTCTCTTATGTGCGAAGAATCGCGGAGGAGCGTTGGTGGATTCCTTCGAGGGCGGTGCACTTTGCAGCCCTCCCCCGCAGTATCGCAGAGCGAGGTGTTCTTCACATATCGCGTGACCCACAAGGCCACTGAGGACAGTGTGACTGTGAAGGCGCCAGAAGCGTCTCACACTTGTAAGCTCTACGAGGAAAACACACGTGAATTTAGTGAGTTGGAGATTGGAACGGCCACATATGGGGAGAGGGAAAAGGCTGTTGAGGGGCACGGCCTCGCCATTTTTATTCGGCTTTTGCCCACACGCAGTGCACAGGACCATGTCGGGTGGCTGCCGTGTACACTTAGGCTCACAGGTGTATCCATGGACGTGGTGGAGCGGAGCCGTTGGAAGAGACGGGCCGCATCGACGATATTCGAGCGGTGGGGATATCCCCTGCTGGCCGTGCTGGCGCTGTATGGTGGCCTCCTTCTGTGGGATAAAATTGCCACCCACCACAGTCCACCAGCCGCGAAACCAAAGCACGACTAAAAAAAGGAGGTTCAAAGGGAAGGCAAATGGAGGGAAAGGTGTTTTACTTGAGAAAAAAAAAAAAAATGGCGTATTTTACTGTGGAAAAATGAGTTTTTCTCTCTTTGTTTGTGGCGGTGAAGATGTACCGGCTTTACGACGCGGTGTTGGGTGGGAGAAGAAATTACTGGAGCGCAATGAGTTTTCCTTTTCGTTTCTGTTTTTTCGCTGCTCTGTGGGAAGGGACAGGTTCTCCTGCCTCCTTATTTCTTCTTTTTTCTTTTCAACTCCATTCACGTAGTGTGCGGTGTGGCGGACGAGGAACTGGGCCTTTTCTTGTGTGTACTTTTTGCTTTTGTCCTTTTCCCCATGCCATCATCTCTGTTTTCTGAGGAGAATAAGCGTAACAAAATACACGGCTTAGCGTAGGAGTTCACCCACACAAATCCATACATATATATATATAGAGAGAGAGAGAAGGGGGGGACATCATTTGGTTCACGCAGCAATGATCGGAACGCCGATAGAAAACTTGACCGTCTCACAGATTAAGGAGGAGCTACGGACGTTCTACGGCATCAGGGACTTCTCGGATGTCGTGGAATTGAAGGACCTGCAAGCCAAACTTACCACAACAAGAAACTCGCAGCTCATAACGCATGGCCTGCAATACGGTCCATTGCTGCAGGTTGGGAACCGAAAGAATCCAAACGGTGTTGTGACTCTTTTGCATGGACTGGGGGATTCGGCGCATGGCTGGGAGCCTGTCGCGCATGAGTTGGCGGGTTCCCTGCCGCACTTGTTGTTTCTTCTTCCGACGGCTCCGGTTCGGCCGGTGACCATTAACGGTGGTATGTCGATGAATGCGTGGTACGACATCAAGGAGATCTCTGCTGCCACAGACGTTTCGCGTCAAGATGGAGAGACGGTGATGATCTCCGCTGAATACGTCAAGAGTCTCGCGTACACTACGACGCAGCGCTACTGCATTCCGAAGAACCGTGTTGTGTATGCAGGCTTCTCGCAAGGCGCAGCGGTATCACTTGCGGCGGGGATCACCTCACGTATTGCACCGGCAGGTGTGGCGGTACTCTCTGGATATCTCGCTGGCGGCAACGTGGTCCTCTCTCGTCTGTGCAACAAGGAGATTCCCATTCTTATGTGTCACGGCACGGAGGACGGAATTGTGCCCTTTGAAGCGGCACAACAGACAAAGAAGGCACTGGAGTCGGCTGGGGTTGCGTCCATCACACTGAAGTCCTACCGAATGGAGCACTCATCGCACCCTGACGAGATCCGTGACGTTGTGAGTTTCCTGAAGAAGGTGTTGCCGGCGATTGACTCCAAGGCCTAGGAAGGAAGAACGAGAGAGCATTGCATGGGAATGGTAAGAGAAGGAAATATTTTCTGTAGAGGTGAGAGGGGACGACATACATACACAATACAGGCATGAAACCCATTCAAAAGAAAAGGTGGAGGGTTGTATGGGGATTTGAGGAGGGAAATGATTTTTTTGTGTGTGATTTCGTCAGCTGAAATACGTAGCCAATGACTCACACACAGAGAAGCACGCCTTTTTGTTTCTTCTATTCTCTATGAAAGAAAAGGGCCAGTGGCATCAACAACGCCCCGACCCATCAAGAAGTGAGGAAAGGAATCATATCTAATCTTTCCGAGCGGGGGTGATCCCAAGAGGGAAATAGGCAAAGGGGTGGGAAGCAGTAGAAACAACGAGATGTTCCAGCGCTCCTCTGCACGGTGGGTGGGTCTCTTTTCCCCCACCAGCTCTCCCTTGCGCAGTGGCTACAAGTACTTTGAGGACATGTTTCCTAAGCATGAGCCTGCCCCACGCTACGCGACATATGAGGAGCAGTCCCTTGGTGCCACTGTGAAGTCTCTTGAGCCAAAGAAGCAGTTGACGGAGTCAGAGAAGCTGCATCAACTGCATGAATGGAAAAAGGAGGAGGACGGTCTCACCCCGCCACCGGAGTTTGGGTGGCCGGAAGAGTGGGGTCCAGAGCCGGGCGAGGAGGGTCATAGTGAGTGGTACAAAAAGAATCGCATGTACATGTCTTATGAGGAAAAGTCAAAGTATGACCTCCGCATTGGTGTTCCCGTCGTGAAAAACTCCATGCGGCACCAGGAGATGCCGTACCACAAGCGCATGAAGGCCGCCTATCATAATTTGCAGGAAGAGAAGCCGCAGTGGTTTGATCCACGGCAAAGAAAGTACTGGGCCCGCTACTCTTACGAAGACCAACGAGACTCTGTTGCCAAGTCGCGTGATGAATACTTGAAGGAGTGGCTTGAGCAGCCGGACGTAACGCATGAAAATGTGGCAAAAAAAATAGGGGACTACAACGGCACAGCAAAAAATCAAAGTGTGAAGCCTGTGCAGCGACGCCCTGAATGGGAGCTGGCACCCATGAAGGGGAATGACTAAGGACCGCTGGTGTAGCTTTATATAAATATACGATAGTCTCATTTCGTTGTTGTTGTTGTTACCCCGTTAACATACTTTTTTTTTTGTTTGTGTGTGTGTGTGTATTTTACCGGAGGGAAAGTAGCTCCAGAACATCATTGACAAATACAGGAGCAAATTATTCATTTTGTGTGTATCTTTTTTTTTTTTTTTTTTTTTTTTTGGACTGTACTTGAGGCGGAATCAATAATAAATAAACGTTTTACAGACAAACCTTTGGTTCTTGTTGTTTTGGTGGGTTAAGCGGGTATCTTCATTGTGAAATTCAAAGGAGGGAGAGAGAGGGGGGATTAGATGTTGCGCCATATTTCTCTTCGAAAAGGCTTGACGACATGCGCCGTGGTGGGTATGGCAGGAAGGGTGTGCCATTGGGCACACCCACAACCACTGGTACGCCACCACAGTACAGCTGCAGCGGCAAGGCAGCCACAGAAGCAGAAGATCCATGCGCTCAGCGAAAACAAATCCGATGCCTCCGCTTACGTGGACGCCGATGATTTTGCTGATTTCTCCTCTTTGCGACACATGGGATACATGTTGCTTCATGCACGTCGTATGTGGGTTCCAATGATGATGGCCGCGGCGTACTATGCCTCTGCCCCACTTTTTACTGCATCCTCCATTACAAAAGGCGTTTACTGGAGTTTATGTGTGATCCTGCAGCGCCTCAGCATCCGGGGAAGGATGAATACGGTTTACAAGGATCTCAATGGTTTTACATGCGTCGTCACAGGCGGCACCAGCGGGATTGGCCTTTACACTGCGATGCAGTTAATTGACATGGGTGCCCACGTTGTGATTGCGTCACGACCGGGACGTGAAGAAGCAACGCGAGAGTTTATGAAGGCAAATTGCCAGTGCAGCAAAGGCTCCAATGAAGATGTTATTCAGGAACGACTGACATTCGTCTCGTTGGACCTGTCGGATCAGCTTGACGTCATGGCGTGTGCCGCTCGCATTAAGGGGCGATTTAATGATCGGATTGATTTGTTAGTGAACTGCGCCGGTGTCTGGCGGGAGGAGCCTACGGTGACAAAACAGGGTTTTGAGGAACACATTGGCGTCAATTTTCTCGGGCCGTTCCACCTGACAGAAGCTCTCTTGCCATCCCTGCGACGGTCGAGAAAGGGCGGCCGCGTCGTATACGTGACGTGTTTGTCGCACAATGGGGTACACAAGGCAAATGTTGTGAGGGAGCGTATGTTGCTCAAACCATCGCCGGATGAGGCTCAGGTCACGGCACGCTGTTACAGTGCCTCCAAACTAGGCAACTTGTATCACGCGCAGTACATCGCCACACGTCGCTACGAGGGTATACCGCTCAATCAACCCACGGAGTTGCGTCCGGTGGATGTGTGCGTAGCAGATCCTGAATTCTGCGCAACAAATCTCACCTGTCGCGATGCACCACCGCTGCTCGGAACGAACTTCCTTGCTCGGACACTGCGTTCCTTGTGGATACGGGATGCTTACGAGGGAAGCCAGACGGTAGTGAATTGTTGTGTGCGTGATGATATTGAAAATGGTGGCTACTACGCAGAGTGCATGCTCATGCCAGGTGGAATTAGCCGCCGGGCCCACGACCCAAAGAGCCGAAAAGATGTAATGCAGTGGGCCATGGCGAATACGATTGCAAAATATTACACAATGAGGCCATCTGCATCAGACAGACACACGGCTGCGACCGCAGCATCTGGTGCTGGTAGTGGTGCCGCTTCAAATAGGGAGGGTACAAATACACACAATAACTAGCTGTGAAACTGAAGGCATCGTATGCTGAGTTATTGTTCTTATTTTTCTTCCATTTTTTTTTTCTATCGCTGTGGATGTTTCACGGGCGTGAGAAAGTGACATGGAGAAGAGCAAACATATGTGATCTCGTTCTCTCACACGTGGATCCTTTTTGGTGCATGGAAATTGGGCGGTTGGCAGTTTTATATGTGGCCTTATTTCTTTTCACTCTTCAGTGGGAATTTTTTCTTCCTCTCTTTTTTTTTTTTTTCCTTTTTGTAGTTGGACCGCCCCGCGCTGCAGGTTCACGGCCGAAGCGCCAAAGAAGGAAGGCGGTGGAGGTTGCGAGTGGGCGCAGAGAATTTATTTTAGTTAAAGGAAAGGGGAGGCAAGGCATGTTGTCATGCGCATCGTTTTCTTGTGTGTTTCGACGTTGTGCGGGCGGGACAGGGGCCGCAGCAGCGATAGCGGGTAGTCTTTTGACGTCAGGGCAGTGCTGGGTTAGTGCGCGTCACTACCACCAGCACACAACGTGTCTTCTACTACCACGCAAACTCTCGCAGGCAAAACAGCAGCCGCTCTTCCCTGGTATGTGCCGCCACGTCAAGCGGTTTGAGGGCGAGCATACGTACAACTACGGGCATCACACGTTTACGATCGTCCGCGAGGGCTCAACGTTTTTCATTTTGCCCCTTGGCTTCCTCATTGCTTATGTCGCAACCCTCTTTGTCCCCATGTCGTTTCAGCTGGAGGCGATGTATTCGGTGCTATTAATTGCCTTTTCTCGCTATTTTGCGCGGGGCCGGAAAAACAGGGATTGGAAGGACTTGAAAGAGCGACACGTCATCGTCACAGGTGGGACGAGCGGTATTGGGCGAGAAACGGCTTCTCAGCTGGCCGCCATGGGTGCCGACGTGACGGTGCTCTCACGCAACGGTCCAAATGTTGATGTTGCGATGGCGTACATAAAAAAATTTGCAAAGAGTGATGAGCAGCAGATAAGATTTACCGCGTTGGATCTTGCCGACTTTATTGCAGTGCGTGACTACTGCAAACGCGCCCAACAGCAGAGGATGGCAGTTGACATCCTTGTGAACAACGCGGGGCTGATGCAGCAAAAGCAGGTGATGTCTCGTTTTGGTGACGACGAGCAGCTTGCCGTGAACCTCCTCGGGCCGTTTTTGCTTACAGAAGGACTTTTGCCGCTTGTGGCAGAGAACGGTGGACGTATCGTTTATGTTTCATGTTCGGCCCACGTTGCAGTGAAGCGAAATATTGTGTCGACGTACCTGTCCGGACGCGGGCTGTGGTCCCCTCGCATCCGGGATAAGTTTGATGGACTCGAGCAGTATGGATTTACAAAACTTGGCTGCATCTATCACGCACAGGACTTGGCGGTGCGCTCCTACACGAATGCCTCAAAACCATTTGCATCTATGACACCTGCCACAGTCGCCTCTATCCTAACGCCTAGCAACGGCAGAGCTCATAAAAGTAACAGTAACGACGGCAACAGCAATACACCGCGGTACACCACATGTGTTGCGGTTCCTGGTGGCGTCGTGACAAATCTTTACCGTTATGTTCCCCTTGCCACGACGTTTCGTTGGTGTCGTTACTTTTATCTGCTCTTCATGCGCACAGCTACTGAGGGAAGTCAAGTGGTTGTGAACTGTTGCGTGCGGGAGGAATTAGTGAATGGCGGTTATTATCAGAATTGCCGCTACAGCCCTACAGGCCTTTCCGCTACCGCTTGCAGCGTAGAGGAACGAAAAAGTGTGCTGGCATGGGTGAGGCTAAAGATGCAGCCGTACATGCGGTGGGAGAGTTAGCGGTAGAAGTGTTTTTCTCTCTTTGTGTTGAAGGAAGGGGAGGGGAGGGAAGCTTAGAAAGCCCGTGGGCCTGTTGAGGCCTTATCTGCTGAGGCGTTCAAGATCGCATTAAGATCACATACTGCACAAAACATGTGCGGACCACTTTACACGTTTTATTCACGTGGCTAGGTGGGGAATACATCGCAGCCAGGTCGGCAATTGTGTTCTTCTTGTGAATATTGTGTGTGTGTGTGTGTGTGTGAGCATGAAACCCTTTTTGTTTTTTGTTTTTTGCCTTTGCCCACCCCCTGTAGACTCTTTATTTCTCTGGGAGTAAAAAAGGGAAACGAAGGAAGAGGGAAGCCACGTGTCTACTCAAAAATGGTCAAGATCTCACATGAGGACACACAACGCATCAAGACGGCGTTCTTGTCGTATGCGCAGGGTCAAGACAAAGTCACGGAGGCGATGATTGACCAGCTCATCTGCGGCGCCTTCCCTGGTCTCTCGTGGGAGCAGCTGCAGGAGAAGAAAAAGGGCCGTGCGGCAGCGAACGGCTACGACCGCAGTGCCTTCTTTTCTCTTGTCGCGTCTGACGAGCAGTACGTGCGGTTTATTGCCCAGCACTTCCCATGCGCGCCAGAGGAAGAGAAACCGCCAGAGATTGATGCCCTGGAGCTCAAGACGCAGAAGGGCTTTTAGTGTGAAGGGCTGCAAATGAAGAAGAGCAAAAATCAAAAAAAAAAAAATCCGTAAAATCGTACGAGTATATTTCCAAAGGACAAATTGCGGGGATGCACTTATGTGCACGCCAAAAAGACATGTAAAAGAAGGAAACAAAATGCGATGGAGGAGAAGCATTTGTATGTGTAATTTTCAGTAGCTGAGAAGGGAAGTGAGGCTTGTTTTTTTCTTTCTTTTCTTTCTTCCTCTTTTTATTCTCTGCTGCGTGCGTAATTGTGCGCGAACCACCTGGAGGCATCGTGTGTGCTTTTGTTTTGTCTGTGCTTGTGTGTCTCTTCTTTCCACTACCTTTTTCTTGGCTCCCGCCCAAACCTCTCATTTTTTTGTTGTCACGTCGTGTACGGCAGAGTGACGGGTCATCGCTGTGACCACCGCAAAGTAATAAATCACTCCGTGTTGTGTCGCCTCCATTATTGCCGTGTTTACAACAGGGGCATTACGCCGTTGAGGAATGGACGACAATTTGGCCGCCGAGATCGCCAGAATAGAGGCGGAACTTGAGGCTGACCGCCAGTTTCGCGAGCTGCAACAACGACAACAGCAACAGCAACAACAGCAGCCGTTTGGCGCCATGGATGCCACAAGCGCCTTTGAAAGGGCATCCGCTGCGGAAAATAATCCGCACCCCGCGCAGCGCCAGCGGATGTTCGCCCACGGCGGAGACCCCATGGCGGCGCAGCAGCAGCAGCCGGGTGTGATGGCCCCGACGTCGGGGCAGCCGCATCAGTTCTCAAAGGACAGCGACGGCCGCTCCATATTTGTGGGGAACCTCCCGCGGGGCGAGAACGGCGGCCCAACCACCACGCCGGAGGAGCTGGCGCAGTTTTTTGCCGATTGCGGACAAATATTGAACTGCACTGTTCTGCGTGACCGCGGAACGGGTGAGTTGAAGGGCACGGCATACGTGGAGTTTGCATCGTACACCGCCATGGGGAAGGCCATTGACACCAAGAATAATGCCAGCTTCAAGGGCAGTACCATCATTGTATGTTGAGCGTGAGTTCCACAACTAACTTTTGTTTTCTCTCCCCCCTTCCCCTCTCTTTCTTCGCTTGCGCTTTTCCCTCTTTCTTCCCCACCCACGCATGCCCGTGCGGTACCTCCCCCTCACTTTCTCTCTCTCTGGCAGACGGTCGCTCCGTGCCGCGAGTTGCGGGGAGGGGAGGGGAGGGGGAAGAGGAGGGAAATGCGCTCAGCGACGCCCCCCTCTCTATAAAAACGAAGGAGGCAGAACAGTGGTTGAATATGCGTGCCTGTTTGTGTGTGTGTGGGTGGGAGAGAGAGAGAGAGGGAGATGTCTCTCAAGCAAAGAAGGGGCTCGCTCAGCCGAACAAATAAACATCACAAAAAAAAAAAAAAAAAGCACGCAGAAGATATCCCTCAGTAAAAAAAAAAAAAAAAAAAGAGAAACAAATGACATTAAAATAACGATGGGGCAGCCACACATACAAATAAAAAATGGAAAAAAAAAAAATCAACAACAAAAAAGAAAAAAGACATGAATGAATTTTATATAGGTCCTCAACTAAAAAAAAAAAAAAAAAAAAAAGAAGCACACATAGAAACAAATAACTGTTAGATATTATCATGGCACACACACGGTCAAGAGCCGCCTTTCACACTCTTTCAGTTAAAGACAAACACACACGCACGCATATAATATCACCGTTTTGCCTCCTTCGTTTCCTCCTCTCTCACACAAACTTTTTTCCCTTTCTGTTGCACATTGGCTGAAACTGAGATTCTTTTGCTTCTTCTTCTTCCTTTTTTTCTTTGTACGCGTATGCATGTGTGTGGTCCTCTGTAGGTGACGAAAAAGCGCTCTGCCTTTCGCCCAGATAGGGCACGCGGCGGCAGAGGAGGACGCGGTGGTGGTGTAGCAGCAGCAGATCCATACCAGGCCATGATGGCCCTTATGGGAATGATGGCCGGCGGCGCAATGATGCACCGTGGTAACAGAGGTGGTGGTGGTGGTGGGCGCGGGGGACGGGGCCGTGGCGCTGCTGGAGTTTACACACCCGCTGCAGGCGGCTTTCAGCCCTTTCAGTAGTCATTGAAGAATGCCGCCACACAGAGAAGGGAAACTGAGACACCGATCAAGGAACAAAAACAAAAATTAAACACACACACACACACACACACACACACAGAGAGAGAGAGAGAGAGAGACAGAGGGAAAGTTGTATACACGAAGAGAGATGCGTGTGGTCGCACGTGGAAAAGGGGGCAAAGCAAACAAATAAATATATGGCTTGATGGCCTGCATCGATTTTTTTTTATTTTTTTTTTTTTGGTTTTGTCTTTCCTCCTTTTCTTTGGTTCATTTTCATTTTGTATTGACATGGTTTCCCTCAACACCTGTGTGTGTGTGTGTGTGTGTGTGTGGGCTCTGGCCACCAACTGCCGGTTTCCTGCAGGGACAACAAGAGAAGGAAGGGGAAAAAGAGAGAGAGAGAGAGAGAGAGAAAAAGAAAATGGAAGTAACACCAATCAAAAAAGGAAAATAAAACACGTATTTTTGTGAGATCAAAGTAGAATAAAGGAATTAATGGCAAGACAAGAATGCCTACGGAGATTGTTCTGCGCTGTTGTTGTTTTATTTACTACTCTAATGAATCTTCCCTTCTAAATAACACACATGTGACGTGTTTATACATGCGTGCATGTGGCTTCTTGCGTACGATGTAAGTTCTAATGGGTGATTTGTGGGTATTTTCTTGTTTGTTGTTTGTTGTTTTTTTTATGTTTCTTCCTTTAGTAATGTGTGGCCGCATTTAGGATTGATCTGGTGCCGGGTAAGAAAGAAAAAATAAAAATAAAAGAATAAGAGGAAACAATAGGAGCCCAACTCGAATTAGCAAAAAAAAAAAAGGAAGAATAGTCAGATATATATATATATATCAGGTAAACTGCAGGAGGGAAGAGATGGCGACCACCGTCAATACGGTAGGAAGATGGAATTGGGTTATCATGTCGCATTACGCATACATCACGACGGCTGAGTATATAAAACTGGGATGCTCATTGGGTGCCGTGCAGGCAAGAAACTCTATGCGGAACGCAAAGTTACTTTGTATGGATGCATGGAAATTGATTGTGCCGTGCTGCAATTGCTGGAAGAAGAAGGAGAACTCCATTTTTCCGGATGGTATTAACGAGCACATCGTTCCTTTACTTCATGACGTTGCCGCTATGGCAGAGATCACACATGGGCAGTCCGTAAGCATGACACTTCTCAAGGCATTTAGGAGGCAGTCACAATTTGTCGCTTGTGCGCAGCGGGAACATCAGGTGGTGTTTGAGATGGCGACAACAGATGCGGCCGTCCAAAAAATGAGGCTTTGTGGTGCCCCATTAAAAGTGACGTATGAAGAGGCAACGCGGCTAACGGGTTTGTTAAGTGAAGCTTTGGCGTGGGAGTGGTACTGGTTGACGCATGCCGCTGCTCCTGCTCCCTCCAATTGCACCAGGACCTCTCATAGTACCCATTTGGAACTGAGGCCTCATGCACTTGCCCTAATGCTTGACAACTCTCCCGAATTTAACCTCATCTGGATGGCTGTATCTGAGGCGAGTGTTTGGATGACCTTTCTGGATGCCCTCTATAACGAAGGGAGGCGGCCACGGAGTGAAAACGAGGACGAGGAGAACAACAGGAGCAACGAGGCAAAGAGAAGTACGGTTTATCATCATTGCAGCACAGCCCTCATTAACACAAATGTCGCGAACCATCGGATGTTGTTTCACGCCCTGGAGTGTGCCGCGCCGGAGATTCTGGTACTGGATGAGAAGTATGTGCCGCTCCTTTTTCCCGATGAAGAGGTCCAGACTGTAGAGAGAGAGCCGCAGGAAATAACAGGGCAACCGAAAGGGAATGGGAGGACGGTGGTGGTTCCATCGTTTGTCAAGAGGTTGTTTCTTTGGCGAGGGACATCACCAGGTGCCCCGGTGGCAACGAAGGGAATGATGCCGTGGATGCTCGAAGAGATGCGACGTTTCAATGAAGCGCAGCGATGCAGTGTGCAAAGCAATGCCACGGCCTTGGACTTGTTTGATCTCGTGGTGCATCCCTACCAACTAGAGCCGCAGCCGTGCTCGTTCCCCATTCTGGCAGAGCGCATCTCTTCCTTTCCCCCGGCTGTATGCGAACCGGCACCGTCTGAGAAGCAGTGGAAGCAACACGCCTCCCGTATACGGAAGGTTACAAAGAAGGCCCTTCTGCGGTTTCGTTCGGTGATGCCGGTGTTGCACATTTACACTTCTGGAACGACTGGACTCCCCAAGGCGGCGCGATTCAGTCACCTGAGGTTCTTTGCCGCCATATTCCTTTCCTCCGTGCTTCCGCAACGAGAGAAAACGAAGGAGATTCTGTTGAGGCAACACAAGAGAAACAACATTGGACGCGAGGAAGGTAATTGTTGGTTTAGGTTTAAACGGTTTTTTTCATGTGATTATCCATCCTTTGACGAAGAACTTAATGTTCTCACAGTGTACAACTGTCTGCCGATGTATCACACAGTGGGGTGCGTCTTTTGTATTGGGCACCTTCTGCAAGCCCTGCAGGTACAGCAACGTGCAGCAGGTTCTGTTGCGTCGTATCAATTCGAGCCACAAGGTGTTTGCAAAAAAGCAGGTGAGCGGCGGAAGAAACCGCGGCTGGCACCGACTGCCCGAATGGTTATCCGCAGTAAGTTCAGCGCCTCTCGATTCACACAAGACTTGCAACAGTACCGTGTCACTGTTTTTCAGTACATTGGGGAAATACTTCGTTATGCACTGCACCATGAGAAGAAAAAAGTGGATGGCCTTCTCGACACCGCTGGTGAGACAGCCGCACCCCTCAATGGCCTTGACGGCGGCAGCATCCCAGACAACGTTGAGAGACAAAGAGAAAAGGAAGATCGATGGGTGGTCCCCTTTGCTTTCGGTAATGGCTTGCGCCGTGACATCTGGGAAGAGTGTAAGGAGCTTCTCGGCATCGGGCAAGTTGTGGAGTTTTACAGCTCAACGGAGGGAAATATATTTCTTCTTAACCTCTTCGACATTCCGGGCATCGTGGGGCACCTGCCGCTCTTTCCAGCGCCAATCCGTTGGCTCTCCACACAGTTTAATCCGTTGTTTCCGTTCCGTGTTTTAAAGTACGATTTCGAGCGGGGTGAGGTGTGGCGCCGTTCTCCGAAAGGAAAGGGTGCGTACTGCAGCGTGGGCGAGACGGGCGAGATTGTCGGTGAAATCATTCAGGGTTTTGATATGTTTGGGCTCCGACGCTTTGACGGGTACCACAGTGACGCGGAGACGCGGAAGAATGTGATTAGGGGTATCATTCGGAAAAACGATGCCTATTTCCTTTCAGGTGACCTCGTGAGGTTTGACACGATGGGGTTTGTCTCGTTTGTGGATCGCGTCGGCGAAACATTCCGCTGGAAAGGCGAAAATGTGTCCACGACGGAGGTGATGGACATCATGAACGGCGTGGTGGGACGGCTAGCAGCGGTGCGGGACGCTGTTGTGTACGGCGTCGAAATCCCCGGCCGCGAGGGGCGTGCGGGCATGGTGAAGTTGTCGCTCACACCGTTACAGGCAGCCCGCCTGGGATCGTCGGCCTCCCAGGAAGAGATCAACGCCAACCTCCTGCTGATGACACTTCATGACGAGGCATTATTCCTGCAGAATGAACTGCACGGCCTGCTCTCTGGAGCGAATGGTGGTTCCGCCGCCCTGCCAGGCTACGCCATTCCCGTATGCGTGCGAATAGACGATAAAACGAAGGAAGATGTTGAGGGGGTAAGTAGCCGAAAGCAGCAGCAACACCAAAGTCAAATGTCCACGGTAAGTGGCGACTCATCCAGCCAAGCAGGTACCAGCCAAATCAATCACGGAGCCCACACCACCACCACATTCAAATACCGTCGAAATGTACTTGTCGGCGAGGGCTACAGGTTTGTCTTTACATCGAATGAGCCCGCTCCTCCAAGGGTGTACGTTCTGGTGACAAAAAGAGATCTCGTGACGGCGCTGGGGATGGAGCCGTTGCCCCCATCTCTCTCGTGTGGATATGTGCCGTTGAATTCAAGGACACTCATGACACTTGGCGAGGACCTTCAGCATTGCGGGTGGTAAATTCACTCCTCATACATTTTTTTATTGAGTGTTGTGTGCTTCATCGTGTATGTAAGTTGTTGTTGTTTTCTTTTTTTATTGAGTGTTGTGCTTACATGTGCACATACCGATGAAATATTTGATTTTATTATTATTATTATTATTGTTGTTGTTGTTGTTTTGAGTATTTGAGACGTTATTCTTTTTTAGGGAAATTATGTGCCGCAGTTGGTCACCGTTTCCTCAATCATTTGACACGTCCCTTTTTTCTTTTTGTTTTTTCTTCCTTTTATTCCCGTGGTAGCTCCTGAAAAAGAATGCTCTGTTCCAACATGTGTCCGCTAGGCATGCATCATGATACCATCCTTCTCCTTTTAGAAGCCTGTGGAGGGGGATCTGCGACCGGGTTGAAGATAAATAACTGCGGGAAGGAGTGGATTGTCGGTATATCTCGATTTGTTTAACGCTTGAATGAACTGCTTTGGTTTTTGTTTTCCTTTTTGGAAGAAATTAAGAAAAGGCAGCGAGAACGGCTTTCTTTACTTCCTTCATTCCACCTCCAGCTGCTGCTGCCTCTGCTACTAATAATAATATGACGAATACTACTGCCCTCAACGAGGGGATTTTTTTTTTTTAATTTTCGGTTAGGAAACATTTTAATGACTGCCAGTTTGTGACTTTAAGGCGAGCCTGTTTGTTGTTGTGTGCGTCTTGCGAGCACATTTGTTTGGTGTTGGTGTGCGAGCGTTAGGGGAAAAGAAAACTTCTCTGAAGTGTGGAGGGGTGTTGGGTAAGTTGAACCCAAACAGTCACCGCACATTGGTGGGCTCCTCCTCTTTTTTGTGTAGGCGGGAGGGGAGAAAAAAAAAAGGTGCCATCCAGCCGCGTAAGCTGCCACTGTACGACTTGCCGTGAGGGGTACGTTGTGAGGGACGCTCTCAGAAACTCCGGCATTTCTTCCCGACAAGTCATGTGTAGTGCGGAACCGCCTTGGGCCCTCTATTGGCTGCTGAACGCACATATACACGTATATATCTGCATGTGTGTGTGTGTGTGCAGGCATAGGGGCAACCCAGCAAAAAATGCGCGTTTTTTTTTTCTGATTTTTTGTTTGTTTGTTGTTTTTTTGGATTAGACGGCAAAATGAGTCACTGAATATTTTTTATTGGCCCGCAACCTTTCTCGTGACTGTGACTGGGCACGCCTAATTTGGCCATATCCGTTGGCTGTGAGAATGAGGTGGAGGAGGATGAGGTTGTGGATCTCTCCTTCTTGTCCATGGTGAAGTGACTGCTGGCAGTGTGTGTGTGTGTTGTGTGTGTGCGGTCTCGCAGTCTGTGGACTGTGGCTGCCTCTTGCCATGCTGTGTGCTCTCTCTGTGCGTGTGTCCATGCTGCGCCTCCCTCTCCCTCTCTCCCCCTCTCTCTCTTGTTCTGTCATTCACTTCCCCACTCCGTGTGCAGATTAGCGGACTGACCCCAGCACCACTAGGAAGGATGATGATGACTGTGATGACGACGACTGCGCTGCGCCGTGAGGTGTGCGCCCTGTTGTCCCTCGCGCTGTTGTGCTGCTGCGCTTCTGTGTGCGTGGCGGCTGCGACGGGGGCTGCTGTACATTCAAATGATTTGTATTTCGGAGGGCCTGCCGTGAACGTGTCGGTGGAGATCTCGTGTGCGGACAGTGAGAATAAGTCGCAATGGCGCTTTCCTGGCCAGTCAAATTGGACTAAGTGTGCACTCGCACAGGGTGCTCATGACCACAATGTTGATCAGGAGAGTACCGCAGGCTACACTGTTGGTGCGGAGGACACTGTAAGCTACACTGTTTATCAGGGGAGCACTGAATACAGTCCGGGTATACCATATAATATTATTGAAGATGTTGAGGTTGTTACCCTTGATACGGTAAGTGAGGATTCCACCCGTATCAGTGAGTCACTCTGCCTTTGGGCCGAACGGATGTACTCGACTGCAAAATGTAATGAATCCTGCACTTCATCTGATTTGAATAAAACCGCGTTTACGATGGAATATTCGACGAGTAACGCCAGTGGTGTGTACAAGAAGTGGCTGGAATATACTAAGTCTTCTAATGATGCTGCTGCGAGTAGCACCCCAGGCGTCTGTCCGTTAAAAACTACTGTTGAAGGGACACCTGAGAAGGTCAACAGTGGACTTCATGAGGCCGCTGCAGCGGCGTCGGCAGCACAAGTGCCAGCAGTGGAGGCACCCGCAGCGGGGCAGGCTGCAGGCAGTTCGAGTTCAGCTGCGAGTGGGGCCCCATCATCGGCACAGACTATTGAGCAGGGGATAGCCCCAGCGGACCCACAACCCGGCAACACTTCGCAGCTGCCAACAGGCGAAGGGGTTGGCAGAACGGATGGATCCGGGACGACGCAAACACCCTCAGCCACTCCCGCCAGCGGCAATGGTGGGGCCTCCGGTGCCGCCACGGCCGGTGCTGCCTCACAGTCCGGCAACCCGACATATACGAGGGAGACCAACAACAGTGCCGCCACCGGAGCGCAGGATCCCGGCACGTCGGACAGCAGCGCCATCGCCACTGCGTGGGTGCACACACCACTGCTGCTGCTGCTGACCGCCCTTGCATGTGCCGCTGGGCAGCGGTGCGGAGCAGCCACACAAGAATGATGAAAGGTGCGACTCGTCCCCTGTATGTGTGTGTCTATTCTGCCTGAAGCCCTGTGGGCAAAACCTCCACCTCAATTTAGGAAGTGTTTTTGCTATGTTCTGTTTTCCACTGTCTGGCTGCTGTACACCGTCGTGAATGACGAGTTCCCTCTTGTTTGCTTCTGCCACCCACACGCGGTGCCGGCCTCGCTGCTGTGCGTCCCACGGACCGCACAAACGAGGAGTGGAGGAGCAGGCCGGATGCCGCATGGAATGTGAGGGTTGTTGTGTGGGCTGGTGGAGGAATGCGATCTTTTCTCATGCTTCATTGCTTATTTGTGTGCGGGCAATGTACGCCCACACCCATTCCCCTGTGTTTTGGAGACACGTGAAATGAAAACTTTTGCTGAGAGATGTTTCTTTTCTTTTTTCCCGCCTCCCGGGAGTTCTTCTGGACTCCCAACTTTCTTTTGTTTTCTTTTTAGGTTTCCTGCTGTTTTTTTTATATTGTATTGCTTTTTTTTCTTGCAAATCATTTCCCTTCTTTTGGTTGTTGCTTTAGGGCAGCCACCATGGACGGTTTTTCTATTCTGCTTTTTAATTGTTTCCTGCCGCGCTCTTCCTGCGAGGGGTGCCGTGTGTTCCCGCCCAACTGCTCCGCTCGCACACCCACCGACACGCTCATGACGACGGCCCTGTGCGCCTCGCCTGCTGCACGCATGAGGAGGGGCCGCGACGTGTGGGCGTGCGACGAGGGCCGGTGGGGCGGAGCACACATTTCTTCCTTCTTGTTTTGTTTTCTTGCGGCCAGGGCTGGCAGACACCCGCAGCGCCACACACACACACGCAGCCACACCCTGCCGCTCTCCAAAGTAATTTTTTCCTGCTTTGCGTGTTTATTTCACGCGCCGGCATTTCTTTCGGGGCCGGTCTTGTGAGCATTTCTTTCCCCCGATGTTTCGTTTTTTTTTTCTGCGCTCACTCTCCCGATGGAGAGACGCGACTCCCGTCATGTTTTTTCTTGCTTCTCTCGCCCCCACACACAAGAAGAGTGACTGTGCGCTGCGGGCCGCCCTCACGCGCCGATGAGAGGGCTGAGGAGAGCAGCAGCGCGCAGATGACGCCGTGAAATATAAACGATGTGCGGACACACGGAGGGTCAGACGGTTGAAAGACATTTAAATATCTTTTAATTTTAATTTGCGGGCAAAATATATAAACAGTTTGGTGGGAGCGCACAGTAACCGAGTGATTTTTTTTTTTTAGGAGTTAGAGCTATGGAGGACGACTTCTTTCTTGCGTTTTTTTCTTTTTATTTAATTACTTTGTGCGGGGCTGGGAGGATAATGGTGAAGGGGGAAGTTGTTTTTTTTGTAATTGTTTTAAATAAATCTTGTATGACACGCCACTGCTTGGGCTGCAGTGCAGTCATGAGTTTGAGCAGTCTTGTTACTTCTACCATGCGGCTCTGCTGTACATCTTGTTTTTGCGTTTCTCCGCATGTTCCGTTTCTTTTTTTACTTCTTTACCTCGTGTTTCTGCAGGCACGCACAAGCACACACGCACACAAGATGCACATTGCAGTGGATTTGAATGCTTCTTTTGTGGTGCATGCTGGCAGCTGCGTGTGGCGGCGGCTGTTGTCTTCATCCGTGGCCATGAGGAGAAGGTGGAGGAGGGAGCGCGCAGCCCGACACTTTTTTCCCTGTGGCTGCGTTGGATTGGGCTCCGTGTCCCAGTAAGAACTGGATGGCAGTGTAAATTTTGTAGCCGCGTCATGGATGGCTGAGGGTTTGCTTGCGCCGTGTGTGTTGTGTGGTGGCCGCGGGGCTTTCGGCCACTTCCTTGGGGTTGTGGAAATGAGCGAGGGGAGATGGTGGTGGGTGCCGTCTCGTGGTGTGTGAATTGTGATACTTGGCCTGCTGCCCTCTCTTCATGTTGTCTACTCTCTCTTTCTGTATCCGCTGTGCTCTGTTTCTCTCCCTCTCGTTCCATTCTTTTTCTTCTGTCCCACAGATCAGTTCACTGATTCCAGCGACTCTACTACGGGCGATGATGATGACGGCGATGACGGCGACTGCGCTGCGCCGTGAGGTGTGCGCCCTGTTGTCCCTCGCGCTGTTGTGCTGCTGCGCTTCTGTGTGCGTGGCGGCTGCGACGGGGGCTGCTGTACATTCAAATGGTTTGTATTTCGGAGGGCCTGCCGTGAACGTGTCGTTGGAGATCTCGTGTGCGGACAGTAACAAGAAGTTGCAATGGCGCTTCCCCGGCCAGACAAATTGGACTAAGTGTGCGCTCCCACAGGGTGCTCATGACTACAATGTTGATACGAAGGACACTGCAGGCTATAATGTGGATGCATCTTACAGTGACCATGATGTTGATGTTGTTGTTTTTGATACGGTAAGTGAGGATTCCGGCCGTGTCAGTGAGTTACTGTGCCTCTCGGCCGAACAGATGTACGTGGCTGCAAAATGTAATGAATCCTGCACTTCATCTAATTCGGATGCAACCGCGTTTACGATGGAATATCCGACGAGTAACGCCAGTGGTGTGTACAAGGAGTGGAAAGCAAAAACAAAAGAGAATTCTAATCATGCTGCTGCGGTTAGCACCTCAGGCATCTGTCAGTTAAAAACTACTGTTGAAGGGACACCTGAGAAGGTCAACAGTGGACTTCATGAGGCCGCTGCAGCGGCGTCGGCAGCACAAGTGCCAGCAGTGGAGGCACCCGCAGCGGGGCAGGCTGCAGGCAGTTCGAGTTCGGCTGCGAGTGGGGCCTCATCATCGGCAGAGAATATTGAGCAGGGGATATCCTCAGCGGGCCCAAAACCCGGCAACACTTCGCAGCTGCCAACAGGCGAAGGGGTTGGCAGAACGGATGCATCCGGGACGACGCAAACACCCTCAGCCACTCCCGCCAGCGGCAATGGTGGGGCCTCCGGTGCCGCCTCACAGTCCGGCAACCCGACATATACGAGGGAGGCCAACAACAGTGCCACCACCGGAGCGCAGGATCCCGGCACGTCGGACGGCAGCGCCATCGCCACTGCGTGGGTGCACACACCACTGCTGCTGCTGCTGACCGCCCTTGCATGTGCCGCTGGGCAGCGGTGCGGAGCAGCCACACAAGAATGATGAAAGGTGCGACTCGTCCCCTGTATGTGTGTGTCTATTCTGCCTGACGCCCTGTGGGCAAAACCTCCATCTCAATTTAGGAAGTGTTTTTGCTATTTTTGTTGCTTTTTTTTCTAATGGTTCAAATTTTTTACTCTTTTTTTTTTTCTAATCTCTCATCCCTTCTTTTTTGCTTTAGGGGGCAATCACTGTGGATGTTTTTTTCTTTTCTACTCTTCCCTCTTTTAATTGTTCTTTGCTGCGCTCTTCCTGTGAGGGGTGCCGTGTGTTTCCCGCCCAACTGCTCCACTCGCACACCCACCGACACGCTCATGACGACGGCCCTGTGCGCCTCGCCTGCTGCACGCATGAGGAGGGGCCGCGACGTGTGGGCGTGCGACGAGGGCCGGTGGGGCGGCGCACACATTTCTTTCCTCTTGTTTTGTTTTCTTGCGGCCAGGGCTGGCAGACACCCGCAGCGCCACAAACACACACGCAGCCACACCCTGCCGCTCTCCAAAGTAATTTTTTCGCGCTTTGCGTGTTTATTTCACGCGCCGGCATTTCTTTCGGGGCCGGTCTTGTGAGCATTTCTTTCCCCCGATGTTTCGTTTTTTTTTGCTGCGCTCACTCTCCCGATGGAGAGACGCGACTCCCGTCATGTTTTTTCTTGCTTCTCTCAGTCCCCACACACAAGAAGAGTGACTGTGCGCTGCGGGCCGCCCTCACGCGCCGATGAGAGGGCTGAGGAGAGCAGCAACACGCAGATGACCCCATGAAATATAAACGATGTGCGGACACACAGAGGGTCGGACGGCTGAAAGACATTTAAATATCTTTTAATTTTAATTTGCGGGCAAAATATATAAACAGTTTGGTGGGAGCGCACAGTAACCGAGTGATTTTTTTTTTTTTTAGGAGTTAGAGCTATGGAGGACGACTTCTTTCTTGCGTTTTTTTCTTTTTATTTAATTACTTTGTGCGGGGCTGAGAGGATAATGGTGAAGGGGGAAGTTGTTTTTTTTGTAATTGTTTTAAATAAATCTTGTATGACTCGCCACTGCTTGGGCTGCAGTGCAGTCATGAGTTTGAGCAGTCTTGTTACTTCTACCATGCGGCTCTGCTGTACATCTTGTTTTTGCGTTTCTCCGCATACTCCGCTCCCTTTTTTCTAATATTTTGCCTTGTGTTTCTGCAGGCACGCACAAGCACACACGCACACAAGATGCACATTGCAGTGGATTTGAATGCTTCTTTTGTGGTGCATGCTGGCAGCTGCGTGTGGCGGCGGCTGTTGTCTTCATCCGTGGCCATGAGGAGAAGGTGGAGGAGGGAGCGCGCAGCCCGACACTTTTTTCCCTGTGGCTGCGTTGGATTGGGCTCCGTGTCCCAGTAAGAACTGGATGGCAGTGTAAATTTTGTAGCCGCGTCATGGATGGCTGAGGGTTTGCTTGCGCCGTGTGTGTTGTGTGGTGGCCGCGGGGCTTTCGGCCACTTCCTTGGGGTTGTGGAAATGAGCGAGGGGAGATGGTGGTGGGTGCCGTCTCGTGGTGTGTGAATTGTGATACTTGGCCTGCTGCCCTCTCTTCATGTTGTCTACTCTCTCTTTCTGTATCCGCTGTGCTCTGTTTCTCTCCCTCTCGTTCCATTCTTTTTCTTCTGTCCCACCGATCAGTTCACTGATTCCAGCGACTCTACTACGGGCGATGATGACTGCGATGGCGACTGCGCTGCGCCGTGTTGGTCCTTGCGCTCTTGTGCTGCTGCTGCTTGTCTGTGTTTGTGCAACGGCTGCTGGGAGTCCTAGAGATGTATCTGATGATGCGGTTGCGGTGGTTGTGCCGGTGGATGTGTCGTGTGCTCCGAGTGACGGCAGCCTGAGCTATCGCGTGCATGGGTGTGTGGGCGTGGAAGAAGTGTTCTGCAGCCGGTGCTGAGGCTGAGTGTGAGAATTATACCTTTAGTGGCTTTGATGTGCACATGCATGGCGGGAATGGTGAGCTGGGTGCTGTGTGCCACGTGGCCAATGCGGTGCACACATGTAGCAACTGTGCTGCCAGCTGTGCAAGGAAAGAGGAAGGGGCCACCGCTGCCTTCACGATGAATGTGACGACGCATAAACACGACGGCCCTTATGAATTGTGGTGGCGTCAATTTTCTTCCGATGGAACCATCCATCCGCCTGCACGGAGCAGAGATGCTGACCGGACGGGCATCTGTCAGTTGCCGCCACCCCGTGAAGGGAAGGATGAGAGAAGATCTGGTGGGACAACTGCGCCGCAAGTTAATGCTGAGCCGTCACGTCAGAACGAGGATTGGCCACAGTCTGCGGCGGCTGACGGACCCAACACCGTCGATCCGAGTCCCGCATCCAACACGGAGACCAACACGTCTGGGAAAAGGCCTCGCATTGCAACCGATCCGAAAGAAAACGTGGCTCCAACACCACCCTAGAGGAAGCCTAGCGTTGCCACGAGTCGGAACATAGAAATGGATCCGAATGCATTTGAGACGAAGAATGCGCCCGCCACCGCGTTGAGGATGACAGTGGGCTCGAAGAATGCCCGTAAGAGTGAGGCCGTTGACGGCAGCGGCGAGCACGTTCCTGGGAAAATTGCGGGAGGAATGAATGGTCACAACGTCCCCGGAAAACCAAAACGGCATCAAGAAATGTGACGTTGCACGATCTGGAGCGGCGTGAGTCCAGACGGCCGCCTCGCCCTGTTTGACGACGTGAAGTTGACGCTACGCGATTCAACTGGCGACCGCACTGCGCGTGTGTGCGTGTCTCGGGCGTTGCTGCTGCTGCTGGAACCGTGTGGAGTTGTGGTGGTCTTTTGAGCGAAAGAGGGTGGAATTGTGACTCCCCACGGGGGATATTTGCCGCATACTTTGCGCTTTTCATACCACTGTTATTTTTTTCTTTTTTGATGATTTACAGATCGCTTTTTAAATCTTTTTTTCTTCTTTATTACTGCTTTTCCCTTTTTTTTCTTCCTTGTAATGTTCTTTTTGATGCTCTTTCCTCTGGAGTAATAAGTACCCTTTTTTCTTCTTATTATTTAATGTTCGGTTGATGTACACTGGAATGGGCGAGGTGTTTCCCTCTCTTGTGTGTTTGTTTTTGTTGTTGCCCACACGCGGTGCCGGCCCTGCTGCTGTGCGTCCCACGGACTGCACGAAAGGGGGATTGGAAGAAGAGGCCGGATGCCGCAGTGAAGTGTGAGGGATGTTGTGTGGGCTCGTGAAGCAGTGCAATCAGTTTTTATTTTTGCTTTAATTTCTTTTTTTTTTTTTTTTTTTTTTTTTTTTTTTGGTGCAGGCAGGCAATATGTATGTACAGAAACACAAGGTCGTCTATATTCTGCTGCTTGGTGCATGAAATAAAAATTCTGCCGAATGAATTTTTTTCATTGTTTCCGGAAGCCCTGCCGGACAATCAAATTGTTTTTTGTGTTGTTTTCTGCTTTTTTAGCCTTCTGTTTGCGGGGCGGTGTGCGAGTTCTGCAGTCGTACCAATTCCAACTGCCTCATTGTGTGTTTGCTGCTGCTGCTATCATTTGTTACTGTGCGTTGACGGGGTGTTAGTTTGTGCTGAAGGCTGCACGCAAGTGACAGGAGTGATGGCGATGGTGATGGCTGGCCGTGTGCTGCTGGTGTGTGCCCTCTGCGTGCTGTGGTGCGGTGCCGGCGGTGTTTATGCGAGGGAACTCGACAACAAGACACTGGGTGGCTGCATGGCGTCGGGAGTGTTGTGTATGAATACATCGTATGAGCCGAACGGATGCAATAAATACATGCCGACGCCGCCTTTGCGGTCAGCACTGCCTATCCCTGCCATACAAGCCGAAGTTCAGCAATTGACGGTCGTTTCTCAGGATGGGAATAATTTAGGCTCAGTCACCCCTCCAGGTTCTGGTTCTGGAGTTGGAAGCGGAGTTAAAGGTGCAGCTGCTCCTCCTCCTTCTCCGACAGGTGTTGTTCCAGGTGCTGGTGTTCCTGCTGCTCCTTCTACTGCTGGTGACCCTGCTGTTCCTCATGCTGATTCTGGTGGTTCTTCTGGAAGGAAAGGTGATTCTCTGCCCTCTTCTGAAGATGTTCTTTCTCACAGTGATGGCACGGTGATCACGAGAAGTGATTCATCCACTACGCATAGTGAATCCAGAGAAGAAGGGATTTTGCGAAAAGAAGCAACAGGGACTCACAGCTCCTCATCATCCAAAGGACCGACACAGGAAGTACGCCCCGCTGTACAGCAGCCACAAACCTCTACTTCAGAAACTAGTAAAACGGGTTGTGGCGCCGAGGTGTCGGATTGCGGAAGTCAAGAAAAGTTGGGAAAGGCAACGATGGAAAATCAGGAATTGGAGGCATCCAAAACACAAGAACCTCCGCCGGCTCAACATAAAGAATCAAAAGACAATGAGGAGAACTCAACGGAAGCATCAAGTACGGAATCTCAGAATACGGAACCCCAACAAGAAATAAAACCGCCAGTAGATGAGAATGACACTACGAGCACCGATGCATCCACAGCGGTTGCCGCACAGAGCACATCAGCCGGCAGTCAAGAAGAAGCAACTGAGTCATCTTCCAATGGCAGTCATTCTCCACTTCAGGGGGAAGTATTCACTGGAGCGGACACTCCCGAGAATGCTCCATCTCCGGCTGCCGCGTAAACAGAAACAGTCACCGTCGCTCAAAAAAATGATACGGCGACAAGTGACGGCAGCACCGCGGTCTCCCACACCACCTCCTCTCTTTTGGTTCTTCTTCTTGTTGCTTGTGCGGCGGCTGCGGTGGTGGTGGCCGCGTGAGAGTGAGTGTGAGAGAGCCGTGCACCGCCCGCACACACACTCTTCCTTCTCTCTCTGTGTGTGTGTCCCCTTGCATGGGCTCTCGTCCTCACCTCACCCCACGAGGCACACACAATAATGTGCCCATTGTATATATGCATGCACACCCATGCAGGCCCGTTGGTGCTCTCTTTTGCACGACACGCATCGCTGCCGTCCTGCCTGGCTGCATGGGCTGAGCACCGTAACGGTTTCTGTTTTGTTTTTATTGCATTGAGTGGGCGACCTCTCTCTCTCTCCCCCTGTGTGTGTGTTTTGCTTTACGGGAGTAATGAGAGTGTGTGTGCGCTGGTCGTCCCACGCTTCGGCTTTTTTTTTTTTCCTTTTTGATTTTGTGGTTGAGTGCACCCATTCCGCGGCTGCGTGTGTGTGTGTGTGATGATATGAGTAATTTGCGTGTGTGCCATCTGCCTCTCTCTGCCGTTGCTTTCTTCAGACTCTCTTGTGGCGCACAGCTGCTCCGCAAGTATAGGCGCTGCCAAACACACAGGCGCATGCACAGACACACACACCATTTGGCACACGCTGTGTAGCGGCGTGAACGCTGAGGACGTACGCGCGCTGCGGATGGTCACGACGGACACTATGAGCCCCTGCTAGGAGGGACAACGAGAACCTGCGATTTGTTTTGTCGCCGTGCTTCGAGCGTGATGTTCTTGGCGTGCTGCCCATGAGTGGCGTGGCATTGACGGCGGACACGGTGACTTCCACGCCGTGAGCTCACAGTAACCTTCTGGACAGTGGCGGTGCGGAAGAAACTGTCATGATCGTTGCACCGCCGTCACGCTTTTTATTGAGTACCCCGAAGGGAGAGCAGTGAAAGAAGATCCGTCCGCATGCGTCTTTCCATTCCCGCTTCATGGCTGCCCATCGTAATGAGGTTGTCGTGCGGTGGTGTTACCCCTATGAGCTGTTGGGATAGAAAGGGAGAGCGCTGTGCGATGCTCCTGCACGTGGGGCGGGCGCTGAACAAGTGGTGGCAGGTTGTTGGCCGGTCACACAAATATTGCGACACCACGATGAGAGCAGACCAAACACTCCGCGTTTAGGGAGCGTTGTGGCCGATGAGGAATGCGTGCGACGGTGATGGACGCTCAGTCAACGACGGATAGAAGGTTTGTCCCTTTGATGGGTTTGATGCGCACACGGTGCGTGTGGCTGCCTCTGTTGTCTCCTTTTACTCCGCTGTTTGTGCCGCATCCTGACGCATCACTGGCACTAAACTGTTTCCTGTTTCTCCCTCCTTTTTCTCTGCCTCTCTCCTCCCACAGCCAGGCTGCACTGCTGCTACTACTCACACGAAACAAAGAAATGCATATTCCTCAGGCCATGCGCCAGCCACGCCACGCCGCTTCTCCCATTGGTGGTGTTGCTGCTGGTGTACTGCGCCAGTGGATGTATTGCCGCTGCTGATCCCGCCACACAATACCGCTGTGGGTTTAACGCAATGATGGAGAGGAGCGGCCCGCTGCCGACCGCGGTGGTGCATGAGGTGCCGCGCAAGGGACAGGGCGCGATGCAGGCGTACACCGTCGCCACACAGGATGACGACAGTGACTGGAGGCCGATCCGCATCGCGGTGTCCACGGGGGATCTGGAGAAGAAACGTAATAAAAAGAAGACTTTCTGCGAAGAGGCTGGGGAAACATGCGAAACCGTCTTGGGGAAAAGGTAGACTGCGAAGCAAGAGATATATTTTCGCAGGAAAAGAAACAACTGTACATTCAAAAGATTATCCCCGGTGCTGTCAAACTGCACGCTGAGCGACTACTTGTGAAACCCACTGCTGATAAAGTAGAGGTTCCGAGGAGTCTGAATGAACCGTGTAACCACTTTAATTCTCCTAGTGAGCACATAAGAGACGGTGTGCCTGATGCTGACTTTATCATCTATGCCGCTGCTAGGCCATCAGGCACTAAAAGCAGGGCTGTTTGGGCGGCCACGTGTGTCACATGGGGTGATTCTCGCCCCTCTATTGGCGCCATGAACTTTTATCCAAACTACATGACTGACACGGCGTGGAGCGTTCGCGTTGCCGCACACGAACTTGCACATGCTCTTGGGTTCAGCCAAAGGAATATGGAAGAAAAGGGCATGTTGAACTCTGAATACAGTGTGCGTGGGAAGCACCGCAGGATGGTGGCGGGGTATCACGTTAAGGCGAAGACGCGAGCCCATTTAGGTTGTGACTCTCTCGAGGGAATGGAGCTGGAGTACGAAGATGGTGCATCGTCAAGAAAGATCCCTCACTGGAAGGGACGCCACGCGCGGGACGAGCTGATGGCTCCCACAGTCGGTGCCGGCTACTACACGGCTCTGACGATGGCGGTGTTCGCGGATATGGAGTACTACAGCGTGAATTGGAGCATGGCGGAGCCGATGAGCTGGGGCCACCGCACTGGCTGCGACTTCCTGGAGAAGAAGTGCGGTGAAATAACAGATTTCCCCACCAAGTATCCTCACATGTTCTGCGATGCTAATGGCAATGAGACACTTAGCTGCACCTCTGACCGCCTTCACGTCGGGACGTGCACCGCAACCATCGTTGAAAACAAGGGGACTCCTGCGCATGAGGACGTTTGCCCTGTTTTTTCTTCGTACTTTCACGAAACAAATTCTGGGACAACGTACAGTGCGTGCTCGGACGTGACTGTGACTTCTCTCCCTGGGTCGCTGACTGGCGGTGACTCGTGGTGCCTGGATGCGGAATTACTGGAGACGAATGATAACGGTGAAAGTAAAAGCGTCAAGGGAGTGTGCGCACAGGTGTCGTGTGAGGAGGGAGCAGTGAAGGTGAAGTAACTCGGCAGCAGTGTTTTTCATTCTTGCCCCGAGGACACTCAAATCTCAGTGACATTGAATGATTCTAAGCAAGATGGAAAGATCAAGTGCCCGAAGTACGGCGAGGTGTGCACCATTGCCGCGAACGGCAGCAGCCTTGTCGTTCCGAGAGCGTTGGAGGATGATAAGCGAGAGGAGCAAGAGGAGAGGAAGGAGAAGAGTCTGTGGCTGCTCCGGCGGCGTCTCCTGGGGCTGAAACTCTTACAAAGGCGTCCCCTGCCGATTTGCCTGCTGCGGAGCACTCGTCTGAAGAGGGACCCATTGAAGAAGCGTCCACTGCAGAAGCGTCTACTCCAGGTAAAAACTCTGAAGCTCGAGTAGTGCAAGCGGCATCGAAGCAGCCTCAACAAGAAAGTGAAGCAGGACAAATGACGGCGGTGGGGGCATCTGCCACTACACAGCAAGCGTCGGCGAATTCATCGCAGGGAGGTGTGGGGAGGGCGACGGCTTCGAACATCCCTGCCGTTGGAGAAACAACAGATGATGGCGTCACTGTGTGTGAGAGCAGGGCGGTGCCGTTGCTCCTTCTGCTGTTGGGACTGTGGGGGTTTGCCGCTCTGTGAGAAGTGACTGGCTGCCGCGTGGGACAATTGAGACCTCCCCTGCACAGAATTAGTTCCCGGGAAGAAATTTCCCTGACAATTTTTTTTTGCTTTTTGGGCGTACTTTAAATCCTTTTTTTTTTCCCCTTTCGTTCTTCCTGTTTCGTTCTTCTTTTATTTCATTTTCTTTTATCTCTTATTCCCCCCGTTCCTTCTTTTTTTTTGATTTTGGGGGCAACCACCATGGACGGTTTTTCTTCTACTTCTTAATTTTTTGTTGCTGCACTCTTCCTGCGAGGGGTGCCGTGTGTTTCCCGCCCAACTGCTCCGCTCGCACACCACCGACACGCTCACGACGACGGCCCTGTGCGCCTCGCCTGCTGCACGCATGAGGAGGGGCCGCGACGAACGGCGCGCTGAGGGAGCCGTGACGTGTGGGCGTGCGACGAGGGCCTGTGGGGCGGAGCACACATTTCTTCCCTCTTGTTTTGTTTCTTTGCGGCCAGGGCGGGCAGACACCCGCAGCGCCACACACACACACGCAGCCACACCCTGCCGCCGTGTTTTTCTTTAAGGATTTGTTTTGCTTTGCGTGTTTATTTCATGCGGTGGCGCACCCTTCGGTGTCGGCCTCGTGGGCATTTCTCTCCCCTCCGATGATTTCTTTTCTTTTGCTGCGCTCACTCTCCCGATGGAGTGACGCGACTCCCGTCATGTCTGCGTGCTTCTCTCAGTCCCCACACACACGAGTGACTGTGCTCTGCGGGCCGCCCTCACGCGCCGATGAGAGGGCTGAGGGGAGCAGCAGCGCGCAGATGACGCCGTGAAATACAAACGATGTGCGGACACACGGAGGGTCGGACGGTTGAAAGACATTTAAATATCTTTTAATTTTAATTTGCGGGCAAAATATATGCTGACAGTTTGGTGGGGCCACACGGCAGCCAGGCGAATTTTCTTGTTTTCAAAATTGTGTGGAACAGTGATGGACAATTTCTTTTTTATAATTATTTTGTGCGGTGGGGCTTGTATAGGATGAAGGGGAGCGTTTGCTTTGTTTCAAATAAATTTTCTCTGGGTTGCCACTGCTTGGGCTGCAGTGCAATCATGAGTTTGAGCGGTCTTCTTGTTGTTGTTTCCGCCATGCACCTCCGCTGTACATTTTTGTGCGTCTCTCCGCATACTCCGCTCCCTTTTTTCTGATATTTTGCTTTGTGTTTCTGCAGGCACACACGCACACAAGATGCACATTGCAGTGGATTTGAATGCTTCTTTTGTGGTGCATGCTGGCAGCTGCGTGTGGCGGCGGCTGTCTTCTTCCGTGGCTGTGAAGAGCAGGGAGGAGGGAGTGCGCAGCCCGACTCTCCTTTTCCGCGGGTGTGGTGCACCGCGTGTGACTGCATGGAGTGAGGCGCGGCATTCCGTTGAGGGCGGGATGGCAGTGTAAATTCGGGTCGCCGCGTCGTGGATGGTTGGGGATCCGCTTCCACGTGTGGCTGGTGGTGTGGGTGTGGGTGTGGGCGCCTTGTGCTGGCTGCGGGGACGTGGCCATATCCGTTGGCTGTGAGAATGGGGTGGAGGAGGGTGAGGTTGCGGATCTCTCCTTCTTGTCCATGGTGGGATGACTGCTGGCAGTGTTGTGTGTGTGCGGCACTGTTTTGCGTTGTGTCCACGCGGTGGGTTCTCGCCTTTGATATTTTTTTGTTCTCTCGATTTGCCGCACTTAATTCCTTTGTTTTTGTTTTTTGTTTTGTTTTGTTTTTGAGTGCTGAGGAAGTTGGTGGACGCATGCGTGACGGCACTGTTGGGGCTGCTCATGAAATATGGACGAGTACAGTTGACATGCTGGTGTCAGAGAGGAGCAGTCTGCAGCTGATTGTGGACACACTGCATGCCACACTCGACTACCACCAAGTTGGAAGGGGTCCCGCGAACTACAACAACAACGACAGTCACAGTTTACTCCGTAATGGTGATGGAAATGTGTTTGCCTCTGAGGAGGAAGTGGTCGAACTGCTCGGCATGCTGCCTCAAGTTCTTCGTAGTGCTGCCGACCCGGCCATTCTGCAGCTGAAGGAGCGGCAACGGCAGTCCATGACTATTGCTGGCGTTGCACGTCCACCTCCGTTGTCGCGTCACGCCACATTATATCGTCTTATGTTTGCTCAGGCCGAATCGTCCTTATCTTCGTCCATTGGCTCTGGGGAGTGTGGTGTGCTAGACTGCATTGCACGTGTGCTCATAAGCGGAGTTGGTACAAGCGGCATGAGTTCATCCGGGATGCTTTCAGGAAAGCCTCGCCAGGTGTTTGTTACTGCTAATAGAGAAAAGTCGTGGTTTACAGGAAATGTCACAATTGCAGCGCTTCGTTCGCTTGGTGAGATTGTTGAATTGTGTCTTCACGACACTGGAGAAGAGACACACGTTGGCGGAAGCATTTCCAGTGCATACTCTGGTCGCCGTATGACGTTGTTGGGCGGCGAAGATACGGTAGAGAAGTACAAATTGCTGCTAGACGCACTCGGGAAATCATTGTGCCAAACCGGCCTTTTTGACCATCTCTGGCACGCCCTTTTGTTTCACCCCGTCATGAATACGCAGCGTATAGCGATTGTGCGGGTACTTTGCGACGTAAGCCGCGTTGATCTTTTGCGGCTTCCAGTTGTTATTAAAAGAACGCGGCATATGATGACCCCTGCTGTGTGGGGTGAGCGGGTCTCAGAATGTATTCTCTCCGATCCCACCGCAATGGTGAAGGAATCTATTGCCGTAATGCTCTATGAAGGACTACAGTCCGTGCTGGGGGCTGACCGTCGCGGTGACGACTATGATGATCATGTCTACTGGAGGCGTTGGCTGACAAACCGCTCGTTACGATTTCTCCTGGGTGTTTTGGCAACAGGGGCCTCTCTTGCGGTGCTGCAGCCAGTGCTGGGTTCCTTGTTTTTAGTTCTGGAACAAGACCTGTGGGAGGGTGCAACACGACAGTTTCGATCAGGAAGATCTGTGGCGGAGCGTATTGACGTAACATCAATTGTGGAGGTGTGTGCCACGGTACTGGTGCATCTTTTTACCGGTCCAGCCGCCGTGAACGGACGAAGGTTTGACGATGATGGGGATAAGCAGTTGAAAAGGTATCGTTTTCTCGTTCGAGGTGCGGTGCGGTTGCTCCGCCTCGCGTTGAAAAGAGTTGATCAACTGTTGGGCAGCCCAAACATAGTTCAGCAGCCGAAGGGCGGCGGTGATGCTGAGAAAGAGGCTTGTGCGCTTTTGAGTGCGTGCGTGGAGAAACAAGTGCTGGCCGCCGTAATGAAGTGCTTGGAGATGTCGCCGGATGGGTCCAGCATGTGTTCCTTCGTGACAAGGTCGATGCGGGCGGAGATGGTGCGGTTCGTACGTGACCTGCTCGAGCGAGCCTCCCCGCCACTGTTCTTCTTGACGTGCAAGCTGGTGCCTTACTTGCCAACGATGCTGCAGATAATTTTAGATGCAAGAGAGGAGGGCGTCTTGGATGACCGTGACTGTTGCAACGCCGATGGCGGCAGCGATGCGCTTCCCTCTTCCCAGCTGTACGTGGAGGCGTTGTGTAGTGATGGGGTAGAAATGATCTCTCTTCTCGGCATGATGTTGTGGTTCTCGCCGTCAGTGCGGGACCGCTTTCTGGACGTGCTTGCCTCCCTGCAGTTTACACCGGAACAACAGGGTGTCTTCTTCGACTCCATGGAATCAATTGCCCGTTCTTTGCCGTCACATGCCGTGAGGAATCTCCTTATTGTGGACGCGACTGGCACTTTGTTGAATGAAGTGGGTCGGCTGCCGTGGCAAGGAGAGCAGCTGCAGACGGAATCACTGGAGCGGTTGCTCCTACTGCAGCTGCATCGTCAGCGGGAATTGGTGAACCGAGAGAAAGTGGCAGACCGTTTTACTCCTGAAGGTCGGTGGATGTCCGTGCAGCAGCAGCGGTGGAAACTGGGACCGCAGCACGGCTATGCGAGCCGCGTGCTTGTGTGCTTCGTCCTGCACCATCTTCGCAATGGTTCCGGGAAGCGGGAAGTGGGTGACGACCACGACGACGAAGACGAAGAAGGGGAGGCCGGTGGTGTGTCTGTCTCGCCAATTCAACCGAGCACCTGCAAAAGCACTGTGGGGCAACGTGTGGGTGGCATCATTGGTGAACCGCAGACGATTCCCCGTTGCGGTGATGAAATCATCCTTCTCAGGCCGCGCTGCACTCTGCCGTTGGGCCGTCAGGCGTCGCGACGTGGAGAGGAAGCGGAGGAAGAAGACGTCGAGGAGGGAAGCGGATGCCACGAAAGTGCCAGCGACAAGTTGTGGCTGCAACGTGAGCTGGGCAGCCATTCGCCAGACGCTTCACGACCAAAACTACAGCAAACGATGGCAGTGCCGACGCGCATTTCAGCTTCGGTGGCAAGTAGAAACGCAATAGATCCATTAGAACGCGTGCGACAGCGGCAACTAGAGAGTATTGCCACGGAGGAAAAGGCGTACCGGGTGGCCCTGGGGTTGTTTGCATCCCTTGCGTCGCGATACTACCGGCACCTCTTAACACCTCAGGCAGCCTTGGAGTACTTGCATCGCCAGGAGCACGGGGCACCCCAGCGGAGACACGTAAACCCTGTCCCGCCCACACCGCCGTCCGCGAGAACAGGCGTAAACAACAGCAGCACCACATTGCGTCTATGGACGGCCCGCGATGTGTGTCGGGAGGACCTCTTCTACTTCTCCCTTCCTCTTAGTGCAATATGTGAGGCAGCCATAGCCGATCTCGTGGAGCGGTGCAAGAGACACCGGCAGGCGCTGCAAAGAAAATTACGAACCCTACCGCATTCATCGCGTGGACGTCGTTGGTTCTTGCAGGACGCGGCGACAAATATCATGGGCCGCCTCATTGCGCTCTTTCAGATTCTCCTGCATCACATCCAGCGCGAAGGAGAGAAAGCAGTGCGGGAGGCAATTGCGCAGATGCCGATTTTGCCTGAAGTTGAGGATGAGGATTTCGTAAACGATTTGGCTGAGCGATATAATTGCAGGTATCTCACACTGCGGGAATTGCATGGTGGCACGCTTGTCGAGGTTACGAAGTTCATTGTTCGATGTTTTTCACGTCCTGCGGATCCGGGTGGGGAAGACGCAACGGACTCTTCTTTCCGGCCGCGTATGGACTGAACGCAGGGAGAAGAAATGGGAGAAGTGCCGCACGATAAGAGAGTAAGAGAGGGAGGGAACGGATGCTTTGCATGACTTTTTCTTCTGCGTGTGTGTCTTGTTGCTGTTGCTGCCCTTTCACTTCTTGGACGCCCGGCGACGTTAGACGGCTGGAAGGTGGAGATGCCTTTGCCAGCCTTTACGTCTGCTGTTGGGTGCGAGTTGTGCCCTACTATTTAGGAGGATTTTCCCTTCTTTCCTCTGCTATTTTTTTTTTGCTTTTTTTTTTTTTTTTACTTGTGTCTCCATATACACACATACACATAAACACAAACACAAATAAACACACAATGAACGCAGGAAGAGGTTCAAAGGACCAACGCGCTTCACAACAAAACACCCCGCACTTAAAATCATGTCCCACAAGGTGACGAAAGCCCATAACGGCGCCACATTGACGGTGGCCGTCGGCGAGCTCGTGGAGATTCAGCTTCCCAGCAATCCCACCACCGGGTTCGCGTGGTATTTTGAAGGTGGTACCAAAGAAAGCCCCAATGAATCCATGTTCACCGTCGAGAATAAGTACTTTCCTCCGGACAGTAAACTGTTGGGTGCGGGCGGGACGGAGCACTTTCATGTGACGGTGAGGGTGGCCGGTACGCACCCAATAAATCTCATTTACATGCGCCCGTGGACAGGAGCTTCGCACGACTCCGAGCGTTTCACTGTATATCTCAAGGCAAACTGAAGTGTACGTGCCTCCACCTCCACCTCCTTCTTTCTCTCTTTCACTGCCCGTCTGTATGGTGCAGCAGGAGAGAGCGAGTGCAAATAACAACCAAAGAGAAAAAAAAAGTTATATTTATGTGTGCGACAAATGCCGATACTTCAATAATAATAATAAAGGGAAGAAGGAAAAAAAATGTTTTGCTGTTTTTTTTTTATTTAATTTTTTTTTATTTAATTTTTTTTTTTTTTTTTAGTGGATGCAAAAGAAATGAGTGAAGTTTTACATTTGCGAAGAAAAGAGCTGGTAACGACGAAAAAAAAAAAAAGGGGAGGGGAAAAAATATGCGTGCGGAGCACAAATAAGTGGTGTCCGATTGAAGTGTTAATTTTTTTTTTTTTTTTTTTTTTTCAGTTATGCCTGGAACGGGGAAAAAAGGAGGAGGAATGCTCAGATCCCCTTTTTCCCATTCAATCCAATACAAAGAGAGACAAAAAAAGAAAATAAAAGGAAAGGAAAGGGAAAAATGCAGTGTGCCGAATATCAATGAGGGGTGGGGTGGAGAAACAGAGTACAAGACGCAGGTCAAATGGCTCCCCCTTCACGAACACGCACCTGCAATCCCAAAAGACTACCAGAGAAGTGAAAAACGAAAAATGTGGTAAGGTCAAGCTGGAAAAAAAAAAAAAGTTTATAATAATAGTGGGTCTGAAAGGGTTTTGTTGCGTTTGCTGTTGGGCGGGGCGGGGCTACGCACTCGACGGTGCTGCTGCCGCTGCTCTGGAGTCCTGTTGAATGTATTGCCTTCTCTTCTGCCTCTGTTACACATGTACACTGCTGGCGCAGGCACTAGGAGAGTGAAGGGGTGACAAAGGGTGTGGAAAGGAATGGAACGCATCGGTGATTTTGTCGTGCTGTCATATCACGACGTCCGTGACGCTGCCTCGCTGCATGAACAATTTAAAAAGCGCTCCATCAGTGCCGCCGTTATTGACTCCGCGTACATCATGTCACGGCTCCACCTGGTCGTGGCGCTGCATCGCATTAGTTCTGCGCCGCTCATTATTGGTCACGACGACTGTCAGCCAAAAATGACACGCAAGTCGACGGCCCGGACGGCTCGTGATGTCTTTGCTGCGCTCTCCCATACACGAAACCTTTACCGCGTGCTGGAGCACCTCACCTGCTCCGAGACGACCAGGGCGGTTGTGATTGTCCTAAGCGCCCCGACGGAGGAGGATGTTGCGGCTGTTCTAGACATTGTTCAAGGAGTACGGCATGGGCTTTTGTCACTGGAGACGTACCGCGACGAAGCGGCTGTGCGAGAGTTTTATGGCGTTGGCGAGAGCGAAGCGGCGGCACTTGAAGTGACGATTGTAAACCGCCTAGCCACAAGCGACATTTGAGATGGGGGTTAAGCGAGGGGCGCAGCAACACCACCGTGCAACTGTCCGAGGGGAAGAGGAGAAATAAAAGGAAATGAAATGAAGTATCGAGAGGGCCTTTATTGCTGTGAAGATGCGTGAATAAATGAGGTTGCGTCTTTCTCTCTTTCTCAACCGCTCTTTTTTTTTCTTTTTTTTTCCTTTTTTTTTTTTGTTTCTGCTTTGTGCGTGACTCGACTCTTGTATATTATTTGAACGGGGCTTTTGCATCATACGCAACTCCATTCCTTTCCTCACCTCATCCAAATCCTGGCATTGCACGGCTGCAATTGGGAGCCAAGGAAGAAGGTGGCTGTTGTTGTCATGGCAAAACTAGTCGAGGTGCGTGAGATGGGTGAGGACTATGGTGTGGGGACATTCACCTTGCAGTCGTTTTGCACCGGTGATGTATTGCTGGAGGAGGCGCCTGTTGTCTTTGCGCAGTCATTCGTCTCGCAGCGTGGACCGGCAGGAGTGCGGTGCTGCAAAGGCTGTGGGATGATCGTCGCAACACTCTCAGAGGAATGTGAGCGCCTGGCGTGTCTCGCTCGGACGATGATGCAAAGAGAGTCCCCTGTGGAAGGTGGGACTGTCAGTCGACGTGTTAGTGGAGATGGTGATGATGGTGGGGTGGGCGCCAGTCAAGAAGAGTGCGAGGAGACGCAAATGCCCGTGATTATTTGCTCCCCTCATGCCCTGCACGAAACGCTGGAGGAGTTCGCTGCTTCCAATTTATTCTGCCACAAGGTATCGATGAATGACAGTGATGATCACAGGAATAATGGGGAAGAAGCGTTGTTGCCTGGAACCGGGTCGATGAGCGGAGTGCGGTTTTGTTCAGATGGATGCAAGGAACGTTACTTGCACGAACTGGGCGGGAGATTCCTTTCCGTTTTGCCCACTGCTGGGGCAGAGGCAACATTAAAATCAGCAGCAACAGCGATACGTACGACGTCGACGACCCACAACCTGCAGAGGCCATCGGCCAATACGATCATGTGCTTTGCTGTCACGTTGGATGCGGCAACGATGGAGCAGACGTGGCCGAGTAAAGCTCACGTCCTTGCAACACTCGAGTATTTGGTTGAGAACTTTAATGAGAGGCTTCTTCTTATTTTGTCTCTTCTCGCCCGGTGCCTGCATGACACATTGCATGGCGCATTCATTTCGTCAGAACAGCTTCAAGGCCGCTTTGCGGAAAAGGTACACGAATTTGTGTTGAGGTTTGCTGAGGGTGCCGCACGCCCATTGACAGAGCAGCAGCGTGCATTTCTGCGGTTCTCATGGAAATGCGTCTGTCGCTGGTTGGATCTCTGCTGCCAGGAGGAGACGGGTGCGACGGCTGGGCCCGAGCCCTTTTTATGGTTGACTTTGCAGTTGTATTTGCGGTGTTTTTGGTTGTTGGACGCCAATGCGCACATGTTTGTTGTCGTCTCCCCATTGTATAGCCTCCTCTGCTTGCATGTTCCGACGCCGCAGGCGGTGTATCAGAGGGGCGGCGAAAATGGCGAGCTTTCGAGGACTCCTTTGGGTCGACAGATGGACGTTCTGCGGGAGTTGTTTCACGTTGTGGAGCCGGACGCTGCACATGCCACAGGTGTTGCCTTATATGATGCCGCGACGAAAATCAACCATAGCTGTGTGCCCTCTGTGCGGTTTGTCCCAACACACGGCAGGGTGGGCGCGGTGGTGGTGGCGCTGCGAGACATTGAGAAAGGGGAAGAGATACGCTCATCTTACATTGACCTCGTCGCATACAATTCAAGAGTAGAGCGACGGGGGTACTTGCTCTCCCACTACGGGTTTGAATGTGACTGTTCTTTGTGTTGCCAAAAGTGAGTCGATGTTGACGTTGTTGGCTTCTTTTTCCGTTTTTCCCCGCTCTTTTGGTTCTTATCCCGTGTGGTCTCACGTGGCATCTGGCGTTACACTGTGGTCAGGCTGGCCGGTTCTTTTCTGCCTCTAATGTATATATACATGGGTGTGCGTTCACTACTAATGCTAGTTATTTGTTCTTTCCTTTTTGTCCTTAATCCTCTTTGTGGGTTTTTTTTTTTTTGGTTTTGTTATTTTTGTTGCGTCACGACGTGTTTTGCATGCGTGGGCATCCCCTTCGGCAGAAGCAGCAGCAGTGTGCATGGGTTTTAAATGCCTACTGTCATCGCGCTCGCTTATCCGAGTCTCCGGTGCAGCGGCGCATGATTTCCTCCAGGGACTCTTTACGAACGATTTGCGTCTATTGCATCCAGGCGGAAGTATATGGGGATGTTTCTTGTATCATACTGGCCGATTGATGTGTGATGCCTACCTGTACCAACCCTCACGGGTTCACGGTGGGGATGTGTGCATCCTGGTGGACGTCCATCGCGATGTGGTAGATACCTTGCACGATCACCTGTTAGACATGCGAATGCGTAGACGGTTGCAGATTGACAATGCTGGAAAGGAGTTTGTAGTTGTGGCGGCCTCATCGTATGGAAACGGTGGAATTTATGAGGCGGAGGAGGAAGAGGAGAAGACCCCACCACCCTCTTCTGAGTGCGAAACGTTCATGGACCCCCGTAGCTTTGCGTTCCCCGCCCCTCTCCACAAGAGTATTTTTCCATTATCTAAAGCACCATCGGTAACGGATTCGGTGGCGCGGTATGAGACGTTTCTTTACACCGCCGGCATCGGTGAGGGGCCGGACGTCTTTAAGCCCGCCAAGTCTTTTCCATTTGAGTGCAATACGGACTTTCTTCGGGGTGTCAGCTTTCACAAGGGATGCTACCTCGGTCAAGAGCTCACCCACCGCACCCATGTCATGCTGGTGACCCGAAAACGCACCGTCCCATTGAGGTTGCCATCTTTTCAAGAGGAAACTGGCAGTGGGCGGCGGTCGGTTGAAAAGGGCGAAGCGTTGCTGATTGATGGACGCAAGGTGGGCGAGTTGCTTACCGTGTGTGGGGATGTTGGCCTCGGCCTGTTGCGACTGCGTTACGTTGATGCTGCAACGAGAACGGCCCCTGGTCTTAAGCTGGAGGATGATGTTCCAGTCGTCATTACTATCCCAGGATGGTGGGAAGAAAAGGAGGTGAAGAGGATGTTATCACAGCCATAAGAATCAATGAAGAAGAAGGTGAGGGTGCATGCCTTGCTTGTCTTTTTCATTGTATTTGTTGTTGTAGTTGTTCCTGGTTTACCGGCTTTTTTTTCCTTTTTCGTTTTGTTTTTTTGATGAGCAGCACTATGATGTGAGCAACAGGTAATGTGTGCGTGTTTTGCATTCTCTTTCTGCCGGCATATCTGATGCTTTTTTGTGTGTGTTTGTGTCCGTTTTTGACTTTATTTTTGTTTTTTTTTGTTTTTATTATGCGTGGCAAATGAAGGAAGGAAGGAAGGAAGGGAGTTGTTGGCAATAGGGGATGGGTTGTGGGGCGTCGTCTCGGGTGAAGGTGCCCCCTGTTTGCAGACGCTCGAGCAGCGATGCCGTTTCATTCATGCCCGCTCGCCAAACAGAGGAATTTAAAAGAGGGCTTAATGCCAACAACGGCGGTGTTTTTGGTGAGAAAACTGCCGGGGCGGACATTGGCTTTGCCGGAGTAGGCTGGGGCGATGACGAAAGACACGGTAACGGACATCGCTTCGACGGCAGTGGGCTCAACAGCCCAGCCGGAAACAACCTCTCCCACGGCGGAGGACCCGAGTGGAATGCAAACTATATTGGTATCCGCAAGAATTTACATGAAGGTAGTGACGATGAGTTTGATGTGAAATCGGTCAATGATGCCGAGGAAAGTCGAGGGAACTCTAGTGGAGCGCTCACCAGCGGGGATAACGAGGCACCAAACCTTGCCGTCTTTTTTAGCAAGCCACAGGAATGCTTCTATTGCCATACTGCCGCCGTGACATATGAATGCCAGTACTGTGAAGCCTTCTATGTGTGTGATGACTGCATGTGCAATGAAAACTGTGTCCATGACCCGACGCACCCCATGTCTGCCATTTACGAACTTCCATCTTGTTGCAGTCGGACATGCAGTTCTAGTGTAGGGACGATAGACGATGGTGCCAGTAGCCTCTTCTACGACCCATGTGATGTCTGTGGTCGAGTGATCAATGATGTGGAACTCGTGTACCACTGTACAGAGTGCAATGCGGTGATCTGTAATGGCTGTTTTCAGGCAAATGGAGGTGCCGTGCATGAGCATGAAATTAAGCCGTTTCGGCGTTCAATTCGAAGTAGTACGACGGGTTCCGCGTTGGTAAATAAAAGCCGCAACAGTGAAGGCAATAAAGTTATTAATGACTACGTGGTTGTCCGACTACTTGGTAGGGGATCATATGCCAAAGTGAACTTAGTGCAGCATCATCGGACCCTCGCCTTGTATGCTCTGAAGATTCTGCGCCGCAATCGCACGAATAAAGCGAAGCGGGCTCTTTTAGGACGAGCTTCGAGCGGTGATGATTGGCTGCGTGAAATTGCTGTGATGAAGTTTGTGTCACATCCCAATATTGTGAAGCTCAAGGAGGTGATTGATGATGTGGAGGCAAACAAGGTATATCTTATCATGGAGTACTGTGCAAAGGGGCCGGTGTACACGGCGGGTGAGCCGCCCCTTCCTTTAGAAAAGGTGCGAAAGTACAGCCGAGATATCATGGCTGGACTTTTGCATTTCCATGGCGAATATTTATTTCACCGCGACATTAAACCCGCCAATTGTCTTGTGGATGACAACGATGTTGTGAAAATTGCCGACTTTGGTGCCTCCAGCAGCCAAATGAAGAACTTGAGCACGGAGGGTACTCTTGCCTATTCGTGTCCCGAGCAGCTCAGTGGGGAGCGAGTGACAGGCAACGTTGTGGATAGTTGGGCCTTTGCTCTCACGGTGTACCAGATGGCGTTTGGCTTCTTACCCATCGCCACAGAGAGTCTCTCTGAACTGCGTGTAAATCTTCTGAACGATCAGCCCATAAAAATTCCAACCGATGCTGACCCGGAGTTGCGAGATGTCCTTTCTATGATGCTTGAGAAGCAACTTTCCAGGCGCATGCTTTTGCAGGAGGCGGCATATCATCCGTTCTTTAGCATGGAGGGAAATATGGTACCGAGCCCTCCTTCTAGAGCACCTGGAGATGATGCGAATACGGGTCTAAAGGACCTGTACGCGCGAGCGATGGATATGGTTACACGGGGTAGAGGAGTGGAGGATTGCTTTCATGGGGTACGGGCGATTCGTAAATTGCGTCGTAAGGCTCACACGTGGGATGTTAACAGCATGGACAACGAGGATAGCAACAGCGTGGACTCTGGGAACCCGAGCCCCAGCCCAATAGTCGACACGATGGACGCATGCCATCCCTATACAAGTGAAGCCGATGCCTTTCAAGTTGTCTCCATGTTGTTGGAGACACTGAAAAAGGGAAATATTAAACTCATCGGTAGGCCCTTAACAGAGTTTCCTTCATTTCTTACCGATGCGAGCAGTACGACGACGGAGATTCGATTATCCAACAATGGTTTTTCCTCGGTTGGTAGAGTTAGTTTTTCACAGTTCATGCTGTTGCGAGAAGTAAGCATCACCAACAACTCGCTCACCAGCTTCCCTGTTGAAATCCTTTCCGCCCCGCGTTTACGTAAACTTGACCTCTCAAATAACCGTATAACGGAAGTTCCAGCGGAGATCTCTAAGGCGACAATATTGGAACGCCTCTCTCTACACAACAACCGCATTCGGTACGTCGGCATGGATGAATCGGGGAGGTCTGTTTTTTCCGGTCGCTGCATGAGGCATGTTCGGTTGAGCGGGAATCCGTTGACTCATCTCCCTGAGGCACTGCAGACGTGTCCAAGACTGGAGTTGGTGCTTGACGATTTGCCCGTTCTAGTGGCGGAGTGGAGCCAGTTGCTACCGGAAGTGTCGGTGGTGGTGGTGTGGAATGACATCTGTCCCCTGCGGGTGTGCCCGGAGATCCCTGTGTTAACTTCTGTGAAGGGTATGCACCTATTCAGTCTCGCCATTCTGGAAACCCTTAGTATTCGCCATGTTGTGTTGCCACATTTCGGGGACTGGCTTCCCATTGGCGAAGTCAGCGCGGAGGATATGGAGCACGTTAGCCAAAGAGTAAAAGGCGACGAAGGAGAGTTGCCGGACAAATTCAGACGCCCGTTGCAAAAATCTCTGGTAAATGGTACCGATGACAGGGGGAGTACGATGCCGAGGATGCGGTTTCGTCCTCCCATTCTCCGCCGTGCGGCATGTCGCTACCTGCATAGTTACTTCATTATCGGTGGAACGCACTACGACGAGAATGGAGGTTACTTGGCCCTTCTTAACTACCTTCAAAAGTGCATTAAAAGAGGGGAACTTGTCCTTCTCTGCTTTGACGAAAAGAAAGTGACAAGGGCAATGCGTGAAAGAATTATTGGCGTGCTTTGTGAATTGATCCAAGAAAATAGCCCCAATCAACTTGACATGAATGAGTGTATCCAAATGGTCATCAATGCAACGAAGGGGCTCTATGGATAAAAGCGAGTCTTACAGCCCAAAGAATGACGTTCTGTTCGAAGCAAAAAAAAAAAAAAAAAAATGGGAGAAAAAAAGATTGCTGAAAAGAAAAATAAAGTGAGAGAGAAACGGGGTGATTAAACGTAACATGGATATATAGAAAGAAAAGAGAAAAGAGGGGAAAAAAAAAAAAAAAGAAAAAAAGAAAAAAAAAAACCCTGCGGGCAGTAAATCTAAAATATTTCTCGCTGTGTATATATACGTATACATATATATATATATATATATATGTATTATTTATTTATTTATTTATTTATTTATGTTGATATATAAAAGTGCTTGCTTAGTTGTGGTACGTATGTATTGAGAGGTATGCCTTACAATTTTTTTTTTTTTGGTGCTGCTGAAAACGGGGGGGGGTTTATATATTTCTTATATATTTCTTATATATTTCTTATATATTTATTTATTTATGTAAATGTGCATACCATTACAAACATGATTTGTATCGTATTAATCAAAATACGGGCAAATATTTATATATATATTTATATGTATAATTTTATAAGGGTACATATGTGCGTGTGCGTCTGTTTTTTATATGTATGCCCTGTCCTATTTTCTCTCCGCGGAAGGTGGAGTAGCTTCGGCTCTATTTATATATTTATATATGTGAAGGAACGGATGAGTCTGCGGGAAAAATTAAAAAAATAAAAATAAAAAAAAGAAAGAAGAAACATGCGTGAGGTGATGGTTTATGTGAAGAATTGTTGTTGTTTTTGTTTTGTTTGTGTGTTCGATTTTTATCTTTTTGCTGTGGGGAGAAATGAGGAGGAGGAATCTGCCGGGATAAAAGGCACGAGTCCGTGTTTTTTTGTGTGTGTTGTTGTTTTTGTTGTTTGTTTTTTGCTGGTTTGTGTGTTTTTGGCCAATGCCGTCCCAACGATACCGTGGCTGTGGCCCGCCTTTGGTTTGCATTTTTTTTTTTCTTCTTCTTCTTCTTTTGCTTGCATGTGCGCATCTTCTGTTGTTTTCTTTTCCCCCACGTAAAGGGAGGGGAGGGGAGGGGGGGCTTCGTGTTATTTTCGCCGTCACCTCGCAGGTGCACGCACGACTCCCGACTTGCAGAGGGTCTCTTCGCCCTCTTAATTTGTTCGCTGGCCAACGGCTGCATGTACTTCAGGCCTCTCGTGCTGTTTGTTGATTTTTTACTGTCCGTGCACATGCGGCGATGAATTCTGCGTCTCTTCTCTCCCTCTCTTTTGTCATCTTTTTTTCCTCCTTTGCTGTCTCTTCTATTATGTGAAGGAACAGGGGGGGCATCGGTGCAGCGTTCAGGCGTGTGTAGTGCCACAATGGGAGATGCGGCATCAACCATGCTTTTGTTGGGCACCCCCTCTCCCCCGCCACAAGTAAACATCGTTAAAAAGGAGGGAAAAAAGAAAAAAAAAAAAATGAGAATATTCCTCTTGATTTTTCCAATTCTTTCTTTTTCTTTTTTTTCCCCCCCGTTTTTGCGGCATTTCACTGATGGTTATTATTTCTACTTTTTTCTTGGTTTGTTTGTTTGTTCTTTTTTTTTCTATTCCATTGCTTGAGTTTACATTTCTGTGTGCGTGTGAGTCCGAGATGGAGGGAAGAGAGATTGAGTGGATGAGGGATTTCTGGTAGATGTTTACGTGGCGAATGAAAAGTGTACATGAGGCAAATGTGGGGTGGGGGTGTGGGAACTCGCAGTGCCATTTCGGTGGCGGTGATGGTGCGGGTACTATTATTGTATCAGAATGGACATAGTTGACGGCATTTGTGTTTTGTGTTATGTTTGCCAGTCGGCACTGACACCCTACCGTTTTTGTCTTGTTGTTGTTGTTGTTTTGCTTCTTTCCGTTCGTTTTGTCAGTTATTGCATACAAGCACATGCCCTTTTTTATTTTATATATATATATTTTTTCTTTTCTTTTCTGTTTGTTTGGGGGCGGGGGAATCTTCCGTTCTCTGCCTTGCCTTTGAAGGCATGCGTCACCCCTGTAACGTAGATGCGCAGAGAACATGTTGCCAACGAGGGAAGAGGCGAAACCACCGCACCCACGGCGACGGCGTGTGTGCGAGTAGTCCACATGGAGCACCCGCCAAGCCGCCTGCATCTCTCAGAGGCCGAGCGGCAGGGAGCCGTGACTGTGCCTCTCCCTTCGACGGGCGGGGGTGGGGATGAAAGTCGGGGTGTTCTGACGGTCATGTGCGTGGTGGAGGCGGCACGGCGGCAGCTGCGGCTGGACGACACGGCGCTGCAGCTCAGCCTCCACGGTGTGGTGTTGTCCCCGCAACAAGACTTGGCGGAGGTTCTGGAAACCCTCCCATGCGAAACCCGCAAACGTCTGGTGTTTCTCCTCAGCCCAACGCCCGCCAACGCGCTCGACAGGCAGGAAAGGGAAAGGAGCAAAAAGTCAAAGCAGGTCACGTTTGTTGAATCGTCATCGCCAGCATCCACACGGGCAGAGCTTGCTGCTATGACTGATGGAGAAGTGGCACAGTCGTTACCGATGCATTTTTCACCCAATTTGGAGAGGGGGACGCAGTTAACAACGTCGCAGTGTGTGTTTCTTGAATCTTGGCTCAAACCAAACCGTTGTGCCCGTTGCCAATGTGTGCGGGCACAACATAGCGTATTTACTCCAACCCGTCAAGAGCGTCTCCAAAGTGCCATGGTTTTGGCGAGGAAAACGATTAGCCGTACTCGTCGTTGCCAAAGCACTGAGCGGGAAGGTGGGTTGCGGGAGTCAGGGCTGCCGTATTATTACGCCGACCCTCATCAGTGGGAGCCGCAGCGGGGGGAACGGTATCACGGACGCGGTGAATCATGCCACGAATTCTGCGCATTGTGGGGAAGCCCCATGTTGTGTCGCAACTGCCAAAGAGTCAAGGAGACGCATGAAATAGAAGTCAAACATGCGGTGACGCAGGTCTCAACGACAACCGCGAGGCGGCCGCGCAGTCTGGAATCCTCCTTGGTGCATAGTGGAGGCAACTCCCCACCAGCGTATGCACGCAAGACGTGTCAGCACCTTGCCCCGTCCTCGAGTAGTGAGTACTGCACAGTTTGTTACACGCAACGGGTGAAGCAGATATCTCGAGTAGGGCCGCGCTCTCCGCTGGTTGATTTGACTCCACGGCGGCAACGTGTCTCACCTGCACGCCCAAAGGCAAACAACGTGGCCGATTGGCTTGCCGTGCCTGCAGCTGGAAAAGAGGTATCAGCTATCCAAAAGAAAGACGCTTGTAGTTCTGATGACAAAATAAGAAGGAGAGCGAAGCAGAGAAATGGAGCAGAGAGTACGAAGGAGATGGCTCTTACGCATGCTAACAATGCTCATTCCTTCTCTTCTTCCTTTTTATCCACCGCCGTCGCCAAGAAGAAGAAATCGATATTGACAGTACCCCCAAGAAGAATAAATTGTGGCGCCTTGCGAAAAGGCATCCCGTGGGATCTCGTACTGCCGTACATGACATTTGATGATCTACTGGTGTGTAGAACCGTTAGTTCGGCCATGTGCAGCGTCGCTATTTCAATCATTTATGAAAACTGTCATTACATTATGGATATCCTTGATATTCCAATTCGGAAACGTGAATTACTTGTAAAACATGCCAATCGCTACGCCTCCATTATTCTGGACGCTTTGCAGGAAAAAAGACCGTGTTCTGAGCCAACGGATGCCGCCACGCATCCTCGTCGTCTCTTCCATTTCTGCATCCTGCGGTTCCTCGGGGCCTTGCAGGCATTGAGCCCCGAGAGAGAAAACGGCCTTACCGAAAGAGGCACCCAAGAGGGGAGAAACTGGGCGTTCACAGATTGTTTGGAATATTTCCCCCCTGTTTTACCAAGGGATGACGCATTGGCACTCGTGACGAGAGGAAACATGGTTGGGGAGGTATGCGCGGCACAAAAACTCCTCTACGGTGAGGAGGCCAGAGTTGCCTTGCGGTCATTGATTGAAAAACTCGCTTGGTGTGACTCCAATTCACTGCCGCCAATGGCGACGCAAGGGATCACGGACGCGTTTGAAGCAATTTCCGTGGCTGCTGCCGCCTCCCTCGTTTACATCTGCGACGACACAAAGCTGAATGGAATGAAGAGTAATACAAAAAACACACGCTTCATGTCGCTTGGTGGTTTTTTTGAAGAACATACACTCATGCCACTTGTTGACTTTCTGCTTTCGGTGGAGGTGGTGACGAAAATGAAGTGGAGAACTCGTAAGTTTCTGGACGCGCTCCGCCAGCACCATCATCATCTTTATCGCAGTATTGTGTGATGTCCAATGGGATGAGTGTGCGCAAAAAAGTTTTCAAACTCCCGCAGTTTTCCGGTGGAGCTGGAGTATTGACACTTGGCGATAAAAAAAGAGGGACTGTTGACTCTTTGCGACGTTAAACCATGCAGCCGAATACATGATGTCTCCTGCTTTTATCTTTTCTTTGGATTTATTTTTCGGGTTCTTCTTCTTTCCTTTTTTGGTTTGGTTGTTGTTGTTTTGCTGCAGGACGCAGGCAAGCAGTTGCTTTGCTCGCAGTGGGTTGGCTTTTAAGCTACACACCCCACACATCCCACACACACACGCAAGGCGATAAAAGAAATTAAAGACTTCTGTACTCGCCAAAAAAGGAGTTTTGCACGGACGCCTTGCGGGAGAAATCAAATTTCACGAGAAAGAGAGGAAGCAAAGGGAATTGGAGAAGGGGAAGGGAAGGGAAGGTTTTAGGTGGGAGGGTGAAGGGTAATTAGTGGACAGAAAAAAAAAAAAAAGTGGACGGCGAGAAGAAGCATTGGCTTGGGAAGGAGAAAAGGAAAAGAAAGGGAAGTGGTGTAAAACAAAAGGAAAAGGAAAAGGGAAAAAAAACGGGACGAGGCTGTAGGCCGCATTTTGGCTGAACTGCCGTGCAACACCAATTTATTTGTGTGTGCGAGTCCCCACCTCATTCCCACACCACTCATCTCTCAGTGCGCATGGACTTCTCCTTCAGCAGCCCGCCGCCCTCCTCGCCATGGGGGTACCCGGATCCGTCGTCTCCAGTGTTACGAACCCCTCTTTCCACACCAGACCGCTTCATCTCCGACCGCCACTCGCAGGACAACGACATGTCGCACTTTTTCCTAACCACGAAGGAAAACACAGTTCCGCTTCGAGCGAGCCCCGATCGACGAGGAGGCTCCGTCTCGCTCACGGCATCAACCCACCGCGCCACGAGTCTTGGTTTTGACGCAGATGGCGCTCTTGGTGCCGCGGAAGGTGCTGGAAGTATTGGCAAGGCGAGGAAATACGCCATGGATTCTACCCCCTCTGACACACCTGTGCTAGCGACAGAGCCGTACGCAAACAAACTTGCCCGGACACTCTTTCCGGACTCACAGTCGACTGTTTTAGGGATTCACAGTCAGGTGCTTCTTCAATACCAAACACCTGAATCCGAAAAAGAGCGATACCGGAACTCGCTAGGTGTTGTCTTTGAAGAAAATCGAGCAAGAAACTTCCGTTCAAAGACATTTCGTGTCGTTGCACGTGCCCCAGAGCGTATTCTTGATGCTGCTGACATGATCGACGATTTCTATCTTCAGCTCATTGATTGGTCCTCGAAGGACATTCTTGCGGTTGGTTTGCAAGGTGCGGTATATTTGTGGGATGCAAAGACGTGCAATATCACACATCTCCCTTGCCAACGACCTCCCAATGGTATTTTCTGTGGAGTCACCTGGAGTGAAGACGGTAACCTTTTGGCTCTTGGTACAGACGATGGTTCTCTGGAGATTTGGGACGTAGAAATGCAGCGTATCACGAGACGCCTGTATCAACATACGGATCGCGTTGGTGCCCTTTCATGGAATGGCAGTGCGATTGCGAGTGGCAGCAAAGATGCGAGTATCCGTGTGAATGATCTACGTGACCCCGTGGAGTCGTGGACGTTGCGCTGTCATCAACAAAGTGTGTGTGGGCTTCGATGGTCCCCAGATGGTGTTCGCATGGCTAGCGGCGGCAATGACAATCAGCTGCTTCTGTGGGACAGTCGTACCTTCTCCGTGAGATCACAGCCTGTGCTGCGCCTCAACAAACACACGGCTGCTGTCAAGGCGATTGCGTGGAATCCGGTGCAGCATAACCTTCTCCTGAGTGGGGGAGGCTCGGAGGACAAGATGTTACGTTTTTGGAACACGTCAACCGGTGAATGTATAAATTGCCATAATGCCGAAAGTCAAGTGTGTGGTGTGTTGTGGAATCTCAGCGGCACAGAACTCGTCAGTTCCCACGGCTTCTCGCACAACCGGTTGACGATCTGGAAATACCCAACTATGCGGCGAGTGGCGGATCTCACGGGCCACACGTCACGTGTGTTGCATCTCTGCATGTCAACAGACGGCGAGGTGGTTGCCTCCGCTGCGGGGGATGAAACAATTAGATTTTGGCGCTGCTTCCCTCCATGTGAAAGAAACGGTAGAAGATCTTCTCGTCTTGGAGTTTCCCGTGGCGAAAACTTCCATCAGATGTCAAGCCAGAGCAGTTCCCCTCATGTGGAAGCCTTCCTACGCGATGAGCTTGCGCTGCGCTAAGATTAGAGGTGGGAAGAGGAATGACGAGGAAACAAAAAATAAAATAAATAAATCAAAAGAAAAAACAGAAGGAAAGAAAAAATTTTACAAAAGGCGGCTTTCTTGTAATTTTTATTTTATTTTATTTTGTTTCTGCCGCATCCATGTAACTCTTGCGTGTCTTTGGTTTTTTATCAATGTTCACTTGTGTACTTTCATCTTCGGCGCTTTGTACTTAAAAGAAAAAGGCGGAAAAAAAACAAGGAGGGATGGCGTGGCCCTGTGAGTAGAACGATGAGTGGAAAAGATATTTCTGTGTTGCGTTACAGTTCTTCTTGTGTCTTTTGGTCCTTTTCTCTCTCTCTCTCTCTCTTTTGACTCCTTTCCGTTTCGGCGCCCACAGAATATCACCTGCCGCACTGAACGGAAGATTAGCCTCAACCAACACGGGCATCACAGAGGAAGGAGGGGAAGAGCCGTCCTGAGGGTTTTTATTGTCCTACACAACAGCCGTGGGAGATGTTGTCACGCATCAAGAAACAACAGGCGGAGACCCGCGACGCCGCTGGCCAAAGCCACAGTTCTGGCGGTGGTCCCTCAACGGCAAGTAGTGAACCCGTTGCAATTTTGCGCCTAAAGAAGGACTTGGACAACTTGGACGGCATCCGTAGCACGATAGACATCCCTGATCCACAAAACATGTTGCGGATGAAGGTTACTGTGCGGCCGCCGTATCCATCCATTTGGCAGGGCGGTATCTTTGAGTTTTTGCTCGAGTTTAGGGAAGACTACCCGTACGAGGGGCCGAGGGTCCGTTACTTGGGCCCCTACCGCATCTGGCATCCAAATATTGAGGGAGACGAGTATATGGAAGGTGAAGGAGGATTGAGAGGTGATGTGAAGAATACATGGGGAGTGTGTCTGAGCTTTCAGACGGAGTGGAAGCCAACCATGAGTCTACGGGATATTATTATTATGATTGAACTGCTGTTTCAGGACCCCAATCCCGATGACCCCCTCCATGGAACCGCCAAACAGGCGGCACAAATGATGAAAGACAATCCAGCAAAGTTCAGAGATAAGGCGCGCCGGTGGATGCGGGGGGGTTACATTGAATGATCCACCACACACACTCTCTCTCTCATGTGCCTACCGCGCCTCTCACCTTTTATTCGTGAACTATTTTCGGTGCTTGAAATGTGAACAGGAGGGAAATTCAAAAGAAAATGGATAGGGGTTTGATGAAAATTCCGGATTGGTTGGTTTGGTGTTTCTTTTTCCTGTTAAGCTCGCCTTTATTCGTTTGTTATTATTTGACTTGATCCTCCTGCTGCAATTACTCTCTCTCTCTGTGTGTGTGTGTGTGTTTCATTAAACGTGAACCCTAAACGGGCTGGAGATCAACAAATAAGAGACGGATGCTTTCAATTGCTCTGTGCAATTGAGTCTCTACCTGTCTGTCTGTATTTATTTATGTGTCTCACACACGCTCTTCTGGCTCTTCTCACCTCCCAGGTCTCTTTGCCTGTGCACATTCTATTGCATCCACAAAAAGTATTATTCGGGGCCTGTTGCGGTGCCACATTACAAATAAAAAAGGGAGGGGAGGGTGTGTGTCTCCACAACCTCGCCCCCACCAACCCAACATCATGGGGGACGAAATGCGGGCGTCATCGTCTGACGATGCCTCTATCACGTCGCTTTCCTTTGGATCTTATCGTCCCAAGTCGCAGGGCACACCGTACACAAGTGCTGGTGGTGGTGAAGCGTATTTCAACCCAGCAGACCTATGGAAGTATGTTGTGCGATACATCCGCGAAGAAGGAAGCCGGCAAGAAGCATCCTCGGTTATAATGGTTGGGCCCGACTACCATTTTCGTCCGCCGCAGTGGATGGAGGACAAGAATGTCTCCATAGATGGCACACCGCTCACAGAAGAGGAGCGTCGTGCGCCTAATTTCTGGCAAACAAAGTATAGACAAGAGCTGGATGTGGGAGAGGCTATTCAAGAGGTGAAGCGCGTGAAACGGATGGAATCCAAACATGATATTATTGGTTCATTTGCGTGGGTTGGTCGTAGGCTGGGATGGATGGAGCCTTTGGACGAACAGTTTGCACGGCGGAAGGCGGAGGCACGCTACCAGAGACTAGAGAGGGACTTCTCTGAGAATGATCTGGAAAACACAGGGGATCGCTCCGCGGGTCACAAAGTGGGATTAAGCACCCCGTGGAAAGTTTTTATGGAGTCTGTGGAAACCGGACAACCCATCGCAAAGGTGGCAAATGAGTACCGATCATGTGTGGATTTTTATGGCCTGGACCCATTTCTGGACTCTTCGCTTCCTCTCATTTGGTTCAGCACGAAGTGTGGTATGGCCATGGGCATTGCGCAGGGTATGGTCAAAGCCATTCAAGCGATGAATGTTGACGTCCAGTTCCTTAAGGCCTCTGGTGTAGGCATTTTAACGATTTTGAACATGTCCGTCTTTGCAGGTGTCGTTAAGTGGGGTGGAAACTGTGCACTCTTTTCGGCGGCGTTCTGCATGGGAGATCGTCTGGCCACAGTGATAAAGTATAGGCTTCTTCCACCCCATGATGCTCAGCAACGCAGTACGTTCAATTATGTCATGGGTCTCGCCATGTCTGGAGGGACAGTTGGCATCATGCCATGGTGGATCCTTGGTGATCTTAGTCTTTCTCTCCGCCTGAGCGTTTTGGGGGGTTTTGTGGGTGGTTTGTTGGGCCTCACTGTGGGAACAGTCATCGGTCGTCTGGTTGTCCTTAACACCGCACGACTTGAGGCAACAAACAGGGATCTGCGGCGGTACGAGGCGTTGCTGCGACGTCAGCGAAGATGGGCAGATGGGGAACGTGAAAAGCTGCGAAGACAGACTTTGGTGTGGTGGTGAGGATTTACTGTGGCGATTTCGCATGACATGCGTGTGGTGTGTTAGTAACGTGTTGGTGGGGAACGGGATGAAGAGGAGGAAAAAGATGGGGTAAAGAGCGGAAATGCGTGTTGCTTTCTTTCATGAGTTGTTGTTAAATGACGTTTTGTTTTTTTTTTTTTTTTTTTTTGCTTTTGTTGTTGTTGCTCCCTTCTTTTGGCCTGCTTGCGCGTTTCGTATCTGCTGGAAGGGAAAGCAGGAGAGGCAAAATAAAAATAAAAAATGAAGACCAGACAAATCCCCGCAGGTGCCGTGGCGCTCAAGCGACACTGTCATAACGTTATCGACGCACTTGGCTCAAGAACTCCACCGGAGGCGTTTCTTTTTCGCGGGAACGCCTACTTTGCGTTGGGGCAGCCGTTTTTTGCCATAGCCGACTACAACACGGCAGCGCAAGTGCTGCAACTGTCAGGCAGGCATCAGAAACAGTGTTATGAGGCCCTGGATTGCTTTCCAGAGTACCAGGTCGGCACGTATCCCGCCGACAATTCCCACCTTCATCTTTATGTGCAGCCGTATATGAATGAGCGCTGTGAGGTGACGCAGGTGGATGGCGTCGTGGGACGTGGCGTTGTGGCCAAAGAGAACCTTTTACGGGGATGCGTCGTGGTGCGTGGTGCCGCCCCATGGATACGATACCCAATGGATGATGGTCTCTGTGCCTTTTGCGCAAGGCCTCTACCGGAACGCTTTTTCACGTGTATAAATCCCAACTGTCATGAAGAGTACTGCAGTAGAGACTGTAGAACAATGGCTCTTTCCCTTTATCACTCTCGTTCGTGCTGCAATGAGGGGCTTCAGGCCCTTGAGCTCGATATGTACACGCAGATGAAGGCGTCGGGGACAAGTACGGAAAGGAATGCAGCAGCCGCGCAACTTCTCATGTTACGTGTCCTAGCTGTATCTGTGCAGCAACAGGTGATTCCATCTGCTTTGAGTGAGCTACGTATCCTTTCCGGTCGCTTGTTATTTAGTCCCCGGGTTCTCGCTCATTCTTTTTTAGAAATTTACGAGCGATTTACTCGCTTTTGCCATACCGCCACCTCCATTTCATACGAAGAAATGATTGGTGTGTTGGCGCGTGTGACCGCAAACTGTTTTCATCGCGACACATGTGTTGAGTTGAACCTTTCACGCTCCATGTTGAATCATTCGTGCGTGGCAAATGCCGCAGAGGAGTTACATTCAGGGGAGATCAAAACAACGCGAGATGTCGCACGAGGAGAGGAACTCACCATCAATTATTACCCACAGCTGAAACACTTGTCGTTCGAGGAACGCTCAAAGGAGCTTGAGCGTCGTGGGTTTGAATGCCACTGCTCGCAATGTCGAAGGGAAAAAGGGGTGGAGAGGAGGGACTTGAATGAGTAAAGAAGCTGCCGAAGGAAATTGGACTGTGAGGCGAGGACTATGATGATGATTTTGATGATAATAATGATCTTTCATATGTTTATTTGCGTTGCACTTTTTGTCATTGCGGTTGTTGTTGCTGTTTTTATTTTCCTTTTCGTTAAGTGCAATTGGCATTTGGGAAAGGACGGTGTACATATGTGTGTCTCTCCCCTGCGTATGTGGGTGTGTACACTGGAGTTGAAGGAATAGAGAAGTGTGGAGGGGAGAGGTCTTTTGAGTGTGCCATTGCTTCAGTTTTTTCATGGGTACCTTCTTTCTTTCTTTCTTTTTTTTTTTTTTTTGTTTTTGTTTTGTTTTTCTTCTTCCCCACGTGTCTGTCTGTCTGCGTTTGCACATGATGCGGTCAGGGAAAAGGCACGGTGTGTGTACATTCCGATGCTGAAGACCGTCCTGCTCCTGGACGGGAGTGAGGCGATGAATAGCTCCGCCGACTACCTTCCCACACGGCTGCTTGCTTTGCGTCCTCAGCTGGGAAGATTTGTCCACGCCTACCTTGACGCCAACCCGTTGGCCTCTCTTGGGGTTGTCACGATGCGAGACGGTGTGGCGCACCGCCTCAACTCATGCACCACAAACGCCTCGGACATCATTCAAACATTAGAGGTGAAATATTTTCTTTTTGGTGGGTCTGGGGCGATGTCGTTGGAGAATGGGCTTCGTTTTGCCCTCTCAGAACTCGTGGATATGAAGCGCATCGCCAAACGTGTGCGACGGACCGAGCCCCATGCCGGCGGCAAGGAGGCACGAGAGGAACCCACGGCGCGGCTTCGAATCCTTCTGGTCTCCTCCTCCGTCACCGTCATTGACCCCCATGACGTTTTCGGCGTGATAAAGATGATGGCAAAACTTCGTGTACGTGTCGACGTGATTTCTTTTTGCGGTGCGGTGCATGTGTTTGGGGAGGCGGCGGTGTCCACCGGTGGGACACTCTACACTCCCATGAATTACGACCATCTCACCGAGGTCCTAGGGCTTCTTGCTTCCCCGGACAAACACCACGTTTGTCAGGAGGAAAGACCGGCGATGATTCGGATCGGGTTTCCTGTTTACATTAACTGCAAGGAACCAGAAGGTGGGGAAGGAGGAAGCACAAATTACGTTGCATGCCCGCAGTGTGCGCTGGTACAGACCTCCATTCCATCCACTTGCCCTCTCTGCAAGCTGTTGCTCTGCAGTGCCCCGCTCATACACAACACCTTCATCGCACACAATGAACTTTGTCCGGTCTCTGAAAATGTGGTAGATGCATTTGAGGGTACTGATAAACCCACGGAGGATTACTTGAATGAGCGATGCTCGTTGTGTCAATATGGAATGATGGGCGAGGATGGAAGAGCTCTCGTTTGGCGATGCAACTCCTGCCATTGCTTGCGTTGTGTCTCGTGTGAGAAGTATGTGCGGGAACGCATCGGTCTTTGCCCAACCTGCATTGCCTCTCCGCTGTAGCCGGTCGAGTCAAGTTCAATGGAAAAAGGAATTGACACGGTGGGGGCATTCTCCCCTTACCCGCTTCATATATGTTTTGAATATCTGTGTATGTGTATTTGTGTGTGTGTGCGTGTGTGTGCTCTTGGCGTTACTGATTGTTGTTGTTGTTTGCCCGTTAACCAAACTTTATCATCCTTTTTGGCTTCCGGTTACATAAGCAGAGAAGTCGATTCATTTTACAGTTCTGTAGCCTTATATGCACGGAGGGTAGGAGAGTTCCTCCCGTTTCTTTCTTTTCACTTATAATACATATCGTACTGGACGCTTCCGCGGTTGTTAGGTGCCTGGTATGTTTCAGCGACGTCTGTTCCTTGCATCACCGTCGTTGTCTTCATCGTCACCCGCGGCGTTGGTGCCATCCACATGGAAGACGGCCCCGTCCGGATGGTTCCTCGTTCCCCACTCGACGGTGGAGGCACAAAAGGAATTAAGCGTCGCAAAACTATTCTCCTTCTTAAACCACGGTGCCCAGTACGCCTTTCTCGGACAGACGATGGCGCTTGCCGAGGAAATACATTGCATCCCACGCCTGGAGTGGTTTTACACGGAACTGTACTTTTTGCTTCCCCCCACTCCCGCCGCTGAACTATTAGCGTGTTACATGAATGACCAGGAACGTCTCCGGTGCGGGCTACGCAATCAAACATGTGGGACGAGTGCATCGGGAATTCAGTGGAGTGAAGAGTTGCATCGACGAGTAGAGGAACGAGCTATAGAGGATTTTTGTTGGGTTCTGACGGCAGATCAGAGGAAAACGGAAAAGTTTCTGCAGGAGACGTACATTCAGTGGCACCACCGGGCGGATTATTTAGTCACACGAAAGAGTCGGGAGAAGAAAGAGTTTCGTCAGGATTTAACACTTCAACAGGTTATACAGGAGGGCCAAGAACGAAAAAGACGAATGCAGCAAAGACGATTGCGGACAGAGCAGCGTCAAGAGGATATTGCGTCAGGAAAGGCAACCAAATGGGACAACTTCACCCACGATGTGCTCCCAAGAGATATTCGTGAGGCGCTCGATCGCGAGGGCGATGGCATGGAAGATGTGCGCCTTGCTCGGGCCGGGAGCGCAACAGGAGGGTGGAGCCGTAGCTACCGCACACATCCAAACTTTCGTTAGCAGCGCAACCCAAATGGGTCTGGAATGGAACTGTGCAGTAGACATCACGTTGTTTTTTTACCACATGTACGAGAGTATGCATGTAACGATGCCCGTGTGTGCAGATTTATTTATATACACATTTATTTTTCTATTTACTTGTATGGGCATTGTTGTTGATTTCCACAATGAAAAATCTTCCGTTTTTTTTTTTTCTTTTTTTTCTGTCCTATGGGGTGGGGTTTATTTAGCAAATGCGTCTTGGGAGGATATTGCAGGGCTACCGCAAAGTTCATCCAAAAAATCTTCGGGAAGCGCCGCTTGCCCTGGCGGAGGTGCACCGTGGAAATGAGGGGAAAGGAATAGGACCGATCGTGCTTGAGAATTTGGATGCTGCCGTCCAGATGACTCCGAATTTCTCTGTCACTGGCCGACAACTCTGGAACTCCACAAAATTGTTGCGTGAAAGTCGGCACATGCGTCGCTCCTTTGGAGCATGTGTGTTCGGAGGAGCAAGTGCCATTCAGCACGTGTGGCGAGACTACAGGATCCAACCGCACGTTGTATACGTCCCGAATACAGAGCCCACAGTTCCCGCGTGGTGTCTGGAGGATGAGCTTCCCACGTGTGTCGTTTGCTGTTCCCCTGTAGACATCAACAAAAGTTTGCTGAGTGCGGAGCGAGGGGACGGTTATGCGGCAGAGTTCCCCACACCAAAAACCCACTCGTTGGAAACATTTCTAGGCGCTCACAAGCCCTCACGTCTTGGATCCGTGTTAGTGTTGGTGGGCCTTCGAATCCCCAGTAACGTCGGTGTGCTCATTCGGGCGGCGGTGGATATGGGATTCGAGAGTGTTCTCCTTGACGACTGCGTGGACATTTTTCATGAAAAGGTTCTCCGAGCTAGTGGAGGGAGGGTTTTTTCCCCAAACATCAAAATTTTTGAAACACATGGCGCATCCATACCCCTCCTAAGCTCCATCGCGCTCGAAAATCAGCTTCTGCCGTTGTTAGCCCTGCCCTCTCGGGAGGCGGAGCCAGCATTTCAAGTGGCCAGGCGTTTGCACGAATCAAACGCGGCGAGGCGCCGGAATAGGGATCCCGATGCTGGTTCTACGGATGACCATTTAGGCCCTATGTTGGTTCTGGGCTCCGAGTCGAAAGGCCTTCGGGGCCTTGAGGGGGAATGGACGGTGCCATACCGTGCGGTTTCTATCCCCTTGCCGAATTCCTTTATCGACTCCATCAATGTAAGTGTGGCCGGATCGGTGCTTCTTCATGCCTTCCGTCCTGCCGCGGAGAAGTACATCGCTAAAACGACAGAAGCGCTGTTGAATGCGTGCTCCGCCGCAGGAATCCAGCCCCTCCTTGCGAAAGAAGGATGGGAAACAGGGGAAGAAAAATAAGAGGAGGGCTGAGTTTCTTAACGCCCATTGTTGTTAGTGGTGTTGCTTTTGGGGATCCCCGTGAATGGAATGAGGGGCGACAACTTTGCCCGAATGTGCGGCCCTGCCGTTGCATTCTTCCTTCTCCAGACGACCTATCCCAGCCCCACGCGCCAAGAGTTTTTCATTAGCGAAAAGGTGCTTTTTTTTTTTTTTTTTTTTTTTACAAGAACACGGCGTTGACGTCACGCGTCTGAAGGCCGCCCAGCTTCCTTCGCACGCGCGCGAGGAGACATAGCAATTAAGTTTGCATCTGCTAACGGACACGCCTCCGTGGATCAGGACGCCGGCGTCCAGCCATGATCTTTTGGATTTCTATAGGGCAGTTGCCATTTGGCCCGCACGTCGCCCTCCACCGCCAATCACGTCCGACCACTACTGAGTGGAGATGCGGAAGAGAGCCTTGGCACCCAGAGAGGGAGCTGCAGCGGAGTGTGCGAAACACACACACACATGCCACGCATCCGCCACGGGCTAGCGCGATGGCAAGATAACCCAATGCTGCAGACAATCAATGAAATAACAAATCAACGAGCCAATCAAAAATTTATTCCATACATGGGGAAAATAGGGGAGGTCTGCCATGATGCACCTCCGTTGTGTCGTGTGAGATTTAGGGTTTATGTGTGGTCTTGACTGCGCCGCGTTCCCTTCCCGCATTTTGTGTGTGTATTTGTGTCAGGAGCGATAAGCTCATGCGTTCGTGCATGTGGTGTGCGTTGCACGCTGTGCCCCGCACCGCGTGGATGACGCCTTTTTTTTGTGCTTGTCGGTCATTTCTGTGCCTATTTTTCTCTTCTCTCGTCCTTCTTTTGATTGTCTGCTGGGTCACAGCTCCAATTGAAACCGACTACGAAGACAGCGGAAAGAATGTCCGAGCGTCACGGGGAAGGAAATGACGATAATGAGACGAGTTCCGCGTCTACGGTGCCGCAGGGACGTCGGGCGCGAGCGAGGGCGGAGTCTGACGGCGACAGTGGCCAACCCGTTGTGCCTCGCAGAAGAGTGGAGGAAACGCGGCGACCACAGTGGGGCCTTTTCAGTTGGGTGGAAGATGTACTGCTGGGGGGAGAGGCCCGCGGCAATTACATGAAGCTGAATGATTTTCTTCGGAGGCATATCGGCCCCAGCGCAGTTGTCGATGAAAGATACAATGTGACGATGGAAGTATTTTTAGTGGAGCCCAAGACTTACGTACAGGATCAGAAGCTGCTTGAAGAAATTTTTAATTTGACAGATTATCAAGTGCTGCAAGAGATGCGCGGACTTCGACGGGATACGTACAATGTTTCTCAAATGGGTGTGCGCTCTCTCAAACAGTGGAGGGACTTTGAACGGAAGGATATGGTCAGTCCTCTTGCAAGGAGAGAACTCGATGCGGCACTTAGAGGGGTGCTGAAAGAGGAAAAGATACAGATGTCGGAGGGATTTTACGATTCTTTGTACAATGCGAGGTGGCATCACGTGGTGGAAGTTCCTGACGGCGAGGGGATGGGAATGGAAGTGAGGGAGGGGAAACCACAGCAGTCATGGACGTACAAGGCAGTTGGCCGAACTCTTGAAAGGGATGACAGCGTGGAGCAATCCGGTGCACCACGTCTGAGGCTGATGGTGCTCACCTCGGACAAGGCATGGCCGTACTCGTGGCCGTTGGGGCCGTCCATTCTTGACTGCTATGTGAACTGTGAGGTGGATCGAGTGTGGCAGACCGTCAAGGGCGATCTGACCGAATGGTTCAGCACTCGCGGTGAGAAAAACTTTACACCCGGGCGGCGTGTGTTGATTGGGATGCCCGGGATTGGGAAGTCGATGGCCGCCGGTTCGTACCTCCTCTACCAGCTGCTGCACTACGATGCGGAGAAACTCCCTGTGGTTGCGTACAGTGTTGCGGAACAAACATTTCTGTTTGACAAGATCACCAAAACGGCGCTACATTACGTTGGTGAAAGCACGTTTTTGAGGGTTGTGGAGGAATTTTCTGGGCGTGGGATGAGGGGGTATTTCATCCACAACGTGGCCGAGCCTATTCATGAACCGTCTTTCCGTTTGCTTCCCAGGGGATGGTGCATGATTGTGGTGACGCCGCCGGAAGAGAGTGCCCGCAGAGGATGCAAGAAGCAGTTGAGGGGCAGGCAGATCATAATGAATTGCCCACAGGAGAGCGATGTGAAGGCAATGTGCGTGTGGAAGAAGCGCGATCAGCCAGCTGAGGCGCAGGTGGAATACTGGCAGGAGGTAAGAGGCTACATGGATGGGATGGGATCCGTCCTCCGCGACCTGTTCAGTGAGAGAGATGCTAATGCACGCCTTTCCGCTGCGAGGGAGCCGTGGAATGGATTGCCCCATCAAATGCTCATGAACACGTTGGCGTGAAAAGTGGGGAAATGCGGTACAGTGATAGTCCGTCGCACAAACCCCTGAAGATCATTTGGGTGATGGGGCATAAAGGGAACGGGATATTTTTTAGCGCAGCTATCGCCACCGCGAGCAGAAGGAAAATATTTTTTGTTTGGTAACGATGACACCGCCGGCCGATGTCTTGAAGCTCTTAATGCATGGCGAGGAATGCATTTTGTGGAGGTCGCTGGATGTGTTTGGCGCGGTCGCATCCACGAATGGGGGCGCTGTGGAGTGAATCCACCCTAAGCTCAAGGAGCTGACTTCTCCGCCAGGGCGACGGGAGCCAAAGCGCACCGCGCTGCAAATATGTAACCGAGGGCGCCCCACCGGCTGTGTTGAATAGCAGGGAAGGCGAGGCAGTTCCGGGAGGGTTGGTATGAGCTGACGGGTGTTGTGCGTGCCGGCGGTCGGAAACTTTCCGCTGGTGGGCGTTCTTTTCTTCGTGCGCTCGCTGCGGGAGGCGACGGCTGGGCTGCGCATGACCACGGCAATGGCGCACACCGCCACAGCCAGCACGATGAGGCAGCTCAAGGGGCATTTGGCGGCATATTTTAACGGTTGGGAGTATTTTGACCACGACGTGTCGTGAGATTATTTGTGCGCAACACACGGACAGCACGCCGGTAAGCGGCTGGCGGCGGTGTGATGTTGTCGGGCGCCCGTGTGGGGGATACCGTTGGGGAGGGAGGAGGCCGACGCGGGATTTTGGCTTAGGAAGGCATATCGGTGCCAGGTGGGGGGCGTCGTGTACAGATCCACGTGCCTTGCGCGCGGTGTGCGTGAAACGGTGGCATGCTTCTCCCCGAGACTTCCCGTGGCGTTTCACTTTTGAGAGCCCCGCGGTGTGCTTGGAAGGGGCGATTGCATTGGGGGCGCTGTTTGGGTCATCGCCACGGGCTTGTTTTGCGGCCACGTGTCTGAGGAATTTTCTGCGTGTTTCCTTTGTGCGCCGTCGTCGCTGCTGTGTGGTCTCGTGGGGCGTATGGTGATGGATTCTCTTTTTCATTGTTTTGTCCTTGAATTTATTTTTATACGACGTTCCGCTCCTGCTGCACTTTGCTGATGGAAGCGGTCGTCGTCGGGCGGTAGGCACGAGAGTGTGAAATGAGGCGCTGTGGACAGCGCCTCGCGTCTTGCCGCCAGGGTGTTGGGTGTTGGACGGGCAAGAGCGGGCAGCGACTCGTTTGCGAATTCTTTCGTTACTACTAAATTTTTGGGTTGGGCGTTCGACTGGGCACTCCATGTTTTCCTGTCTGTGTGTGTGTGCCATGCTTCCCTCGACTCTTTTATTTGCTGCCTTTGCGTGCTTGGGGCGGGCCGCGCGTGTGAAACAAGAAAGCCGTCACAACCACGCGCTTCACACAAAGGGACGCGAACGACAGAGCGGATCGGCAGGCTCGGGGGGGAGGAGGGGGCGCCACAGCCCCACATGCGTGTTTCGTCGAACGGGGGCACGGCTGACGGACGCCAGGCCGCCACGTCATCTTCGCGTGATGGAGGTCCTGGGGTTTTTCGGGAGCGACCTCATCAATCACCCCGGCCGAACGCATTCCGGGCGCGCGCGCCCCACCCTGTTACGGGCCGCGGCGGCGGCGACCCCGGCTACCGCCCCACAGGGGGGACGCCACCAACACGTATCGGACGACGCGCGCGCCGCGTCATCACGAAAATGTTGCCACCGTCGAATTTTCGGCGAGGGGCCATGCAGAAAGCAGCGTCGGTGGCGGGGTGGAGGAATCCGCTCTCGCCCGCGCTGGCGGGGGCGTGGGGAGGGACGGGCCCAAGGAGGAAGAGGCATGATTTTATCATTGTTATCGGGGGCTTTTCAATAGAACGTCGCTTCCAGGCCCCCCAACCCTGAGAGTGTCCCGCTAATCCTCAAACCGCGCGATAGTGCTGATTGGAGATGCAAGACTGCTCCTGGGAAACTCACGTTGGGTTGTTCGCATACTTTTAATTCAAAAGCCCTGTTGAGTCTGACGAACTCGGGGACGCCTGTTGGGGCTCTGGAAGATCAATTTAGGCTCGATCGCTTTTTTGTGAGCCGAGAGATGCAGTATGTGGTGGATCGCCTCTATGATGCCCGAGACACTCTGCGTGAATCGTTTCAACCAGGCGACGGAGACGATGCGGTAGCGCCGTTCATGGTTCCTGTCGATGGTTTGCTGGAGCAGGCGGTGTCCTTTCTAGAAGAGAATTATCGGGAGAAAGTTGTGGCCGTGCTGAAATCCTCCGGTGCAGAGAAAGAGGCGTGTCCCATGCTGGACCTGGAAAAATGGCTCAATTCCATGTACATACCCGAAACGCGGGCATCCAATGTGCCCCCTTTTTCTTTGTCAAAGGAGAGGGGCATGTGGAGAGGTGTGAAGGTGGAAAGACTCCAAAGTGTACTCCAGTTATACTGAGTTTATTGTGCTCTCGCCTTTTCATTAGCTTTCAATCTTTTTTCCCCTCTTTGGTTTTTCATTGGAGAAGGAAGGGAGACGGGGAAAGGAAGAACGATTTTCCCTTCTTTTTTTGTTCTTGCCGACGGTTACTTCCTTTTTCTCCTCGAGAAGAACGTTGGACACGGAAGAGCTGGGAATCTTATTGTGTGTGTGGTGGTGGTGGGAAGGCCTCATGTTTTTGTTGTACTTTTTTTTCCACCCTTTTATTTTATTTTTATTTTGTGCTCTCTTTCTCTCTCTCTCGCTCACTCTCTTTATTTTGACCTGCTGCGTTCTGTGAATGCCTTCGGCTTCTTACTCTCGTGTATTTCGTTGCGGTTGCGTTTGTCATGCACATATTTGCGTAGCGCAGTTCAAAGAGGAGGCCTGCGGCATCAATTCCTTGCCTTCAAATTAAAAAGTGGTCTCCACGGATATAGACAGCAAAGGACTGAACCCGGCACATCACGTCTCAGCGTGCACACTGAGTGAAGATGTGAAAGGGAGCCCCGGCGCCCCGAGAGGGAGCTGCAGCGAAGGCCGCGAAGCACAACCCCACAGCGCCGCCCGCCCCACAATCCACGCTACCCGATAAATTTATTGGCGGCAGAGCCCCGGAATCAGAGTCGCCGCGGCCGCTTCCTCGGAGTCTCGCCCTCGTCTCCTTCTTCTGCAACCTCCGCGGATGTCGGGTCGTCCGCTAGAGGCGGCTCAACGACCGGTATTGGGTAGCCGCTGATGTTCGGGAAGGCGGTGCACACATCGGCGTATTGGGGGCACACAATGCTCCCACGCCAGGGACCCGATGGCGGCGTGACGGTTTCACCCGCCCGGCACTCGTGCCACGCATCGTCACGAAGGAACCGCACGCTCAGTGTGCCGTCGCCGCATCGAGTGTCCACACACACGTCGCCAACATATTCGTCGTCGAATTGAAGATCCTGCCCCTTCACGCACCGCGAGTTCGGGCCAACGATACTGCCAGGCATTAAAGGAACGCCGTTCGTGCAACCAGTATCAGAATACGCCTCAACAATCGGACATCTGCTCATGAAGAGGTCATCACCGCCAAGTCGGGGATCGGCAAAGTACTGATACTCCTCTGGGAGGGCTTCATCGTACCACTTTATGCCACAGCGCCCCAGAGACAGACGGTCGTACGTGCAGAAATCATAACCGGCACTCCAAAAGCAGTTGCAGAACAGGTCGGGGTATTCGGTGATGCCTTCAGTCAGGCACTTCTTTTCCAGCAGCCCACAGCCAGAGTTGTTGCCCCACCACAACATCTCCGCCGCGCTGTAGTTCGCCAAAATAAAAACCCATGTCCTCAAACGCTGCAAGCGTCAGTGCCGAGTACAGCCCTACCCCCACATCACTAGTCATCATCTCGTCCCTCATGTTGC